ACCTAAATTGTAATGTGAGCAGCGGATATAATTCTGTTCATTTTCGAAGCATTCTTTCACTGAAGTGTGAGAATGAGATAGTTTTCTCATCCTTCGGACGATCTGTTCCACGAGCACAAGCTTGTACTAATCAGTTTATTGCGGTTGTTGTTGCAATCTTACCGAGATATGAAGCCAAGGTATCGCATTTGATCGAGAACGGAGGTTACGATTGCTCGCTCTCCATTTCCACTAAACTATCAGTTCAGGGTACATTCGTGCTCGTCCAAATACAATACACTTAGCCTTTTGCACATTAGAAGTAAGCCTCACCGATCACATCATGGAAAGTTCTTCTCCATTGCACATTTTGCTCTCACGATGTCAGCACCTCTACTACTTGCTACTGTTAGAAAATGATTCTATTGATATTCGGCATAATCCTTTGGAATATATTTCATGTATATATTCAGTATAATTCTTAAGGTGCCGTTTCACTACATGTTAATAATAAAGTGTTTTCTCATCCTTCGAGGGTATCTTAAATGTCTGTTTCACGAGCCTAAACTTCAATAATCAGTTTCTCCAGTATTTTGTTTCTACTTACAGGAATTTTTATTAGGGCTGGTTTCTTTTCTTAGAAACCCCTGAATCTTCGAGGGTTTTTGTTATGATTTATTTCAGCATCCAGAATGCTTGAAAAAGCATGTTTTTTCTTTATGAGTATGGTCATGGATTTTGGTTTTTTAGGTAGTAACATACTAAGTGGCAGTGTCCTTCTATATAAGCAAAGTATCATCCTCAAATTGGAGCGCTGCCTTAAGAAAACCTGTAAGACTTGGTCAGTTCCTCTGCTATATCGCATATACTGTAAAAATATTGTAGCAGCCCACCTAGTCTAGGCACACAAGAAATTTCATAAAAACGCTGGAAAAAACACCGTACAACCTACTGTCACCAAATTAGATCATCCAATTGGCCAATCAAATCAACGAAGTCACATCAAGCCACCAAAATTCAGATAACCAGTATACTGGAACCCGAAGAACTGTGAATTCTACTTCATAACTCCATCTTCTAATAAATATGTATCCTAAATGTAAATGAAAGCAATATCTTACTTTAATTGTTTATTCAATACTCACAAACACAACGTCCAAAAGAAAAGGGATGATAGAGGGTATCCTCTCTAATTGAACCGTTATTTTGATGTCCAAAGCAGCTATTGGTAGGAATTATCTAATGCTTTTGTCCCTCTAAACACATTTGCTCATCGGACACTGCTATCAGAAAACTAGGCTACCCCAAAGAGCGGTCAATTATCAAAAAAAACGTCATTAGAGATTACTATGCTGAAAAGTAGTTTGAGATCAGCGGTATGGTTGCCGCTTCATTGTTGCTGTTTCCTATATGAATAAATCATAGTTCAAAATAAAACACCCTCCTATGACTAAAATGATTCAATTATCTTTACCACCATTAAACTGAATTTTCGGCCTCCACAATTCTCTCTAATGGACAGTTAATGCTATGCCACCTGAAAATTTCCAAATAAATTTCTCACAGCTCACCTGATACTCTGGTTGGTAGTCACCGCAATGAAGATTTTTTCTTATGGTGCGCACTTCCCGTTCATCGAGGCTATCTGTTAGATAATTTCTTCATTAACGTCATAAAAAATTTGCAGTCAGATCTATTGAGAGGAGCGGGTTTCAATCTACTCATCAACTGACACGTCATGTCCATAAACAACCTGCAAAAGTATGTTCATAGATCAAATAGCGTTCGAGATAAATTTCTATAAACCTGAAAATAGATAAGGTTCCACATAGAAATATTCAATTTCCTCCTAGCCCATCTTGCGGATATAACTTTTGAAACCCTTCTTTAATAAAAATCATTTTAAAAATAAAATTGAAGACAAAACATACTCCTACTTACACTGTAATGTGCGAATTCCAACTTCGTCGCCGTAGAGGTGGAATTGAAAAAAAAATGTTTGTAAATACCCATTTACATTGTATCCAAGAACAGAGCATGTGACACCCTTATCGGTATATCTAGCTTTAAAAATAATACTTTTCCCCACAGTAGTCTGGGGGTAGGCATTTTCGCTACCAAAAAACAATAAGCGATCACGAGGTTGTCTGTCGTTTTTTTAAATGTACCAGATACGTCATCCTCGTCCATCGCCCCCACACAAAAAAGGCGAAAACCCACACAGAACTGTTTTCATAACACATTGGTCAATTGTTATACAATTTTCGACTAAAATGTTGCAAGTTTCTTGTTTATGGATTAAAGGGAACTTAGTTGTTTGTTCTGTAAAAAAAATAATATAGGATACAACAGTTTGACCAGCGTGTTTGATATCCAACAAGAAACCATGATAAAAAAACACGATTCATTAGTTTGGTTGCAGAATATCAATTAGATCTTTCCTTCAAGCATGGACAACGAAATTGGGTCACAGTCCACAGAAAAACTAGAAACAAAATTATTGTTTAATTTACTAAATCCTTTACATTCCTTTTGTAACTCTTATCATCTTTGTATAGTATTGAGACTTCCTCCCATTTTACCCCCTATGTCCTCTTTCCCATACATGTTCTCGTAGTGATGATTTTGAGGTCCTACCTTTGTTATATAGCATTTATGTTAATTAATTCTATATTTAATAGGTCTTGATGTTTCACCGATGTGGGAAAGGTATTTAAAAGGAAGCTAAAAGAGTTCTTGGTAGACGTGGAACCATGTAGTGTTTAAGAATCGATGTTTGGTTAGAGAATTTGGTTAGAGATATGCAACATTTGTTATTGTGTGGCAAACCAATTGCATTTGTGTTAGTGAGTTTTTAGTTAGTTATAGATATGTGTGACAAGGCGAAATTTCTTTCATTATTTATTTATTTTTACAGCATGGATCAACAAATTAACTGGAAAAAATCAAATAAATGGATAAAAAGTATTTCTAAATCCATCGAACAATTGAATGGAATGACAGTACTATTTATACAGGGTAGCCGATATGTAACTGACTGATTTGTATCTTGAATATTAGTGAAATGAAATAAAATACGTCATCTTAATCTTTTATTGAAACTTAGAAATTGCTCCGTCCTGCTGGAACCACATGTTTTGCAAGTTAAATTGTTAGAGCCAAAAAGTTTTGCACCTTATCAAGGTAGCGCTCGCCAGTGACAGTAAGACAGTAATAGAATTACCTGCAGCGTCTTCAAAGGAGTAAGGTCCAATGACACCTCCATACCAAACACCGCACCAAACTGTGACTCGACGAGGATGTAGTGGTCGTTGATGGATGACAGGAGTGTTCTCTAATGCCCAGATACGACAATTCTGCTAATTAACAAATCCGTTCATATCGAAGTGGGCTTCATCGCTCATTATCAGTTATCGGTAAAAATCGTTATTCGGGGTATTAAGCTGCAATATTGCAATACGGTATTGTCGGCGACTTTCATGGTCAGTATGCAGCAGGTTTTGGGTTAACTGAATTTTGTATGGTCGCAAATGCAAGTCTTTTTTTAAATAAACGATGTCTGGTAGACGTCTCAGGGCACTTCCCTACACTTTTCGGAGTACGAACAGTTCGACCACGGCTCGACCTTGGCAAGTCTTTAACTTCACCTATTTGTTCAAATTTGCGCACCAACTGACGAACAGTGTTGATACTGGGCACGTTATTTCGACCGAAATCTTGCCGTAGCTTCCGAATCGTTGCAACAATCGACTCATTATTTAAGTAAAACGTTTTAACAATACGGACGCGTTGTGGGACCGTGTAGCGCTCCATGATGAATTGGACACGTGCATTAAACGACTACTACGGCGCTACCTACTGAAATGCGTGTATCAAAAATGGCGCACAATTTAAATCAGTCAGTTATGTATTTGCCACCCTGTATAACTATTTCATAAATTCACCTATGATTGAAAATTGTTTTATGATAACCACACATTTCCATATAACTCTATACATGTGCTAATACATTTCCAGCAAACTTCAAATTGGATCTTTTTAGGTTTCTAAAGCTGTTTTCATAAAGTTATAAATCACACTTTTTGAGGATGGAGAGAACTTTATGAAAACAAGTTATATGTAAAACATCTAAGTTATCATCCAGCTGATTAGTTTTTAGGATCCTACATCTGCGATTACATGATTTAGTTTAATACCAAAAGAGACTTTTCGAAAATGCCAAAACATGATACATTACATAAGGCGAGATTTAGCACCTCCTATTCCACCATACAACGCTGCTGCTCTGTATAAACTCGCCAAGTAAAAACTTGACGATGAAAGGATGTTAATTAAGTGTACCATTAATTTAACAGACGATACTTTGAGTAATTTTAAGAAAAAAGTTCATATAAACATAGGTCCGCAAATTCTTCGTTCTCAAAATGCAGTGTTGAAATTAAAAAAAATATATATGTTTTTTTTTAAATTTCTTTAATATCCTTTACCTAATTTTGTTGTAATTTGGCGGTAGTTTTTATAACATTAAGGAGCTAATTTAGCCCTAATTAAATTTAGTAGCCTCTTGAGCGGGATCTGAACGAATATTTGTTACAAAAAAATATACGCCATTGACTTTGGTACATTTTTTATTATATTCTATATAGAAATACAACTTTTTGTCTGTTGATTTTTCCGTATCATGCTTAGTTTTCGAGAGAAAAATCCACTTAATTTCATATTCCTGACCACGCAAGGAATGTGGAGAAAAGCTTCTTTTGGAAAACCATTATTTTTTACAATTGTTTATTACTAATTATGTAACAACAACAAATAAACACTAAATTAAATTACATTACATTAACATCTAAGCTCTTGAATTTTACTAAACTAAGGAATGGTAAATAATAATCAAGGGTTGCCTTGGCAAACAGTTGCAGTATTTAGTAAACAACTTGACAGTTGTCAACTTGGTATTTATAAGCTATTAATTTATAATTTTTATAAAGTGTTTTTAGTGGTTATTTTTTGTCGAACATTTATTAATTATATATTATATAATTTATTAATAGTGAAAGGACAGATATGCATTCTGTTATGGAATGGCTCATGGAAATTCTAATTCTGCAAGGCGCATTTATCATGAAAGATTTCCTCAGCGTGTAGTGCCTAATAAAGAACTTTTGTACGTCTTCATGCACGACTTTATGAAACAGGCAGCTTTAAAAGATCGACGGTTGTCATCGGGAGGCCTGCAACGTTACGAACAGTTCAAATTGAAGAAGCTATTTTAAATCAAATTGAAGCAAAGCCTCATACCAGTACTCGGAAGATAGCTGAAGAACTGAATATTGCCCATGTCACAGTGTGGCAGATTTTAAGAGACCAGCGGCTAACTCTATTGCTCAGAGAGTTGCCCTTAAGACTAGCTTTTTCTGATTGGTTACTCAAGATAATAAGGAATCCAGGTTTTCCAAGTCGAATATTAGTTTACAGATGAAGTTTGTTCTCGCAATTTAATTATCAACTTCACAACAATCACATTTCGGCCGAAAACACACGCCTTAATATAACACAATTTTCGAAAATACTTTTCTTTTAATATCTGGGTTATAGTTTTCTTCCGTCTAGACTGAAGGTTTTTAGAAGTTTTTTGCCTGTACTTTTTGATATAAGGCTTATACGACTTTTTCCGAACAGTTATAGAGTTATTGCTATTGATTCCAAGAAAAAAATATATTCTACACTTGAAATTATATCTTCCATGGAAACAATGATTTTTTTCGCACAACAAGACTCGTCTTGACCCAAGACGGTCATTCATTATGAAATTGTTGTAATACATTCCAAGTTGTTTTGTTGATTCCAAAACGTCTGATCTCGGGTCCAGTATTTCTTCACAACCACGTTAAGGACAAGAAACATCGTATATGTGAGTTGTTTAAGCGGATAACTAAACAAACCCTTTTAGACATGCAAGATAATTTCATCAGGTGTCAAGAAGCATAATATGTCAAATAGGCAATGACATTTGGTCGAACGTCATTTGCTAACTTTGAGTTAATTTTTATAAATTTCCAATTTATAAAGTGAGGAAAAATAAGTAGCTTAAAATAAGAGTATCGTAGTGTCATGAAACATCTTAACAAGAGATGTCATCATTCTTGAGAGAACGTCCGTAGAAGTGTAAGACTCAAAACAGCAACAAAGGACTCGAAAAGTTAAAGCCATGGTTCTCGAACACCGTCGTTGAAGATCCCTGCCATTTTTATGAGATTCAAATATATCTGAACCCTGCGCAATTACCATCTTAGACGACAATTGGAATATGAGTAAGGTGTCGGGCAGGTGTGTTAAACGACTGTTGACACCTGGACAAAAATTGCACTGATTGGAAATTTCAGAAAATCATTTGGAAACTTTGACCAACGATTCTGACTTTGCCACAAATTGTGACGGGCGAAGAGACTTGGGTGCATCATAGGGTTAATGAATGTCTCTACCCCCAAAAATGCCAGGATGCAACCCTCTGCTGGAAAATTGATAGCACCAGATGTTTGGTACATCAGGGGCATCCTTCTCATTGAATATATGCCAAAAGGCACAACAATAAATCCAGACGTATATGCGAACACGCTGAAAAGTTTACGTAAATCAATCAGCTAGAAAATGCAGCTTCGTTGTAATAGACTATCCTCCCTATAATCCAAACTTCGCTACGTCAGACTTCAATATCTAGGTTGCTAAATAAAAATCTTGGAGTACGTCGTTTTGACTCAAATGATCGCCTAAAAGCAGCTGTCGACGATTTCTTTTTTGAGTGAGTCAAGAGGAAATATTTTTTTATAAGGGTATAAGTTCACTGGAAGATAAATGGCTCAAGGGCATTGGTGTATAAGGGAAGAATCGTACATCTGCTTCATCTACCATAATCTGATTGGCTTGGGCCTTATTTCACCAGTTAATGTTCTCCACATTATATCTTTGAATAGACTTGATGTTACGTGTCTGATAATTGACTTTTTGAAAACCTCTGGGTTAAAATTTTAGTTTTGATTAGCTAGATATCATCTGTGTAACTATCCTCTGTAATTTACCTACCTAACCGGGGCCTAATTGTTGTGTGTCATATTCTGAAAATGCCTTAATGGGCCCTTAGGCGAGAAGAGTGTATCCCTGTCCAATTCCGTCTTACTTAGAGAAGTGTAAATTGTAAAAAAGGATCTGGTTAATGGGACCATTAAAAAAACATATTTTCAATTCCTCACGAGGACGACGTACTATAAGCAGTCAAAGAAGACCTGAGTACATCAGTACTTAAATAGAAGCAAGCACAGGAGTGTCCAAAAGTGGAGCCCACCGAATCTTGCGATAAAACGAGCTCCATTCGTACTAGGTACAGCGAGTGCAATTTCTACAATTCCAGAATTATCTTCCAAGAGTTGAGTTTTGTCAAACACTGTTACACAGACACCGGGAAGATCCGCGACTTTTTCAGAAAATTTTATGGACTGATGAGTCAACATTCAAAAGAGATGGTTGCATGAATCTACACAACTTACACGAGTGGCATGTAGAAAATCCACATTTGATGAGACAAGATAGATCACAGTATCGTTTTAAAGTAAATATGTGGACCGGGATTCTAAATGCGAGAAAGCTATTGTGTGAATCTTTCTTGTTTTCAAATATATCATATTGCTTAGTGGTTTACTATCCCTAATTAGATATTAGAACAAGAAATCGTATTTAACTCTTTTCGGCAGTGTGGTACATAAATCGCACCACAAATAAATAGCTGAAAGATGCACGGTGGTACATAAAATAAAACCACCCTTCGAATTCATTTTGCTGTTCGGCACAGCGACGTATTTTCTGTACCACATATCCCTACCATATGTCTAATGAACAAGGATGCGGATTTTGACTATACTGCGTAAATATTTCCTGTCTTGACTCGTGAATCGCATTAGATGTTGCAAGAAACACGTGTTTTTGATTACAAATATTTAGTGGTGTTTTGATATTGAAAAAGTAAGTATTTCGGGATATTCAGTATACTATTTGTGTTTTATTATGTATATATTTATGCAAAAAAACATAAGTGCAATAAAAATTAGGGATTAGGTTTGAAAAAATACATAATTATAATGAGTCCGTAATTTGTACCACTATGCAATAAGGGCTTTTTCTTTTTTCAGGCCATGGCTTTCGTCGGCAGGTAAGTATCCTCTGGACTTTCAATTGGTAGACATGACCACGAAATAGAAATGATAGATAAAGTTCCAAGTGATCAGGAATCGATTATTTCTAAAGAGTCCGACAACGAAAATGATTTCTGTGAAATACAGCCGAATGATATTATGATCAGTACTGATGATGACTCCAGTGATGATGACGTCCCTCTTTCAAGATGTTTACAAAAGCCATATAATCAACCACCCAAAGTTTCATGGTCTTCTCAAAATTTACAACTAATAAACCCGGCTCAGCCGTTTACTGAGAATCAAGGTTTATGGCAGTTGCTACAAAAGGAAGATCACATGTTGTCGCCTTACTTCTTTTTTAATCTGTTTATAACTGACGAGCTTATAGAAGACATTGTTTTTCAAACAAACCTGTATGCTGAACAAGAGTTTCAAAAAAATACCAAAAAATATAATCCTACAAATACAAAAGAAATGAAGGTTTTCCTTGGTCTTAATCTTATGGGAATCATACTACTACCTAGTTATAGAGACTACTGGAGTGTCGATGAAGACATGCACGATAATTACATTTCCCAGTTTATGCCTGTAAATAGGTTCGGTTGGTTGCTTAGCCACGTTCACCTCAATGACAATAGCGTAATGCCAAACAAAGGGGATGGAGGATTCGATACACTATATAAAATCAGGCCCTTCATAGATAAAATTAAGGAGAATTTCAAAAATATTATAATTGTACAAAAAACATCGCAATCGATGAATCAATGATAAAATTCAAGGGGCGAAGTACGTTGAAGCAATATATGCCGAAAAAGCCGATAAAACGAGGCTACAAAATTTGGACTTTGGCTGACGCAAATGCATATTTATATGACTTTGATGTTTATACCGACAAAAGCGATGTCTACGTGGAACATTCCTTAGGGGAAAAGGTGATACTTGGACTTACCGAGAATTTCCAACAAAAAAATTACTTGCTCTTCTTCGATAACTTTTTCACCTCTTATGGGTTATTGAAAATTCTCAAAGAAAGGGGGATTCATGCATGTGGTACAGTTCAGTCGAACAGAAAACATCTTCCAAAAATGATTGAAGATAAACGTCTGAAGCAAGGTGAATATGATTATTCGATAAGTACTGATGGGATCAGTTTATTGAAATGGACAGACAAAAGAGCAGTCCATATTTTGACCAATTATCATGATCTAACGGTAACAAGCACTGTCCAACGAAAACAAAAGGATGGTACTAAAACCCCTGTTCCTTGTCCTATGGCACTGGTGGACTACAATAGTAACATGAGCTTTGTGGACCGTTTCGACCAAATGAAATCATCTTATGAGCTAGATCGTAAAAGTAAAAAATGGTGGATGAGAATTTTTTTCCATTTCATTGATTGCTGCGTCGTAAATTCATTCATTCTCTATCGACTGAGAGGTCTAAAAAAATTACCCTTGAAAGATTTTCGCCGAAGAGTTGTTGATGGGTTATTAGGAGAACGATACGTCCAAATTAGTGCAGATCATGAAACACATTCGGAAGCACCTTTCAAGAAAATAAAAAGAGCAGTACCAGACGAAGTGCGTTTCACGTCATCAGATCATCAGCCTGTAAGGTCTACAAGACGAAGATGAGCCAGATGTAGTACCAGGATCCACCAAGTTCGTACTGAACGGTCTTGTACAGTGTGTAAAGTTCCGTTATGCTTAAGCAAATCCAAAGACTGTTTTCAAGAATATCACAAAACAAAGAATATATTGTTAATCTTTATAAATTAATAAAATACTTCTGGTATTCTGTTGAATAAACTTTTTATTTTTCATAATTGCCTTCTATCCTTAGTTCAAGTTGCACGGTGGTACATATGTCGTACCACCAATTATCTGCCAAAATGACATTTAATTTAAAAAAATATGTACGAGAATCTTCAAATTTTCATTAATTATTTTGAATCTGATTGAAATAATTTAAAAAATCCGAACTTTTAGATTCTGTGCAACATGGGACTAGAAAATGGAAAAAATCTTGTGCCTGAAAGAGTTAAAGTATTATGAATACATGTTGCTGACTTGTAAATAATCTCAGAAAATATGATCATATATCGAAAGCCATTAATGACCTCAAATGGATGAAAATTGATAAAATGTATAAATACCAGCTCTTAGGTCTAACTGTCCTTTTTTTGGAAGTAGCTGTCTGCTTGCTATCAGCAGAAATGGATGGCATCCGCGAAGGTCTTAAAAAACTTCGGTTGGAAGATTTCCTTCTCTTCATAATCATTGAACAAAGCAGGCATCTGAAACAATGGAAGAAATACTTGGAATATGTATAAATACCAGCTCCTAAGTCTGACCCATAGGATTCTTTATTCAAAAACACCGTCATATTTAGTAATCAAATTCATACGTAGATGAAATATGCATGACATTAATATTATATATACAGATACGTTTTCAATTCCACGTCACAGCACATATCTATTTCAGAATACATATATTTAAAATTCTCTATGCCTTTACATTGATTATAATTTACTTTATCATTACGGTATGCAGGTATTAATTTTCAACTAATTTTCAGTTTATATACATACATTTCATATTGTTAAGGGGGTTAGGTAGTAGAGTAGATACAGTATCTAAATCTCGCCTCCTGTAATATAATTACAAATAAAAAAAGACGTTTATTATTATTATTGTACCCTTTGGGTTGCTACAGTTCTTGAATGGCGCAATTTATTTAGATTTTTAACAAAATCATTTACCAAATTCATTTAGAAGACGTGCCACTAAGCATTTACAGAGACATGTGGTACCAGCAAAACTATGCCCGTTCAGTTGACAATATCTTGATGCGGAATACCCGAGCAGATGAATAGGGAGGTCTGGTAAAATTTCGTAGCCAGTCCGTTCACTTGACTTTGAACCATACGATTTTTTTAATGGGGATCGCTAGAAGAAAAAAACTATCGAAAACTCAGCTGAGCTACGGGACAGAATAACGGAATTTTGTTAATAACGGACAAATTCGTCCGTCTATCAACCCGATGATTTTTAAGAAGAAGTCAAGCTTGCATTGCATTACATTCACGAACTCTTAAAAGTGGCGCTACTAACTGTCTTGATGTCACTACGTAGAATGACACTGTCCCTAGCGAAGGAATGCGTGTGCATGCGACATGCACACATTCTGAACTCGCCCACGAGATTCGCTGGTTGGTACCTACGCGTTCGACCGTCAGACACCGTCTACCACCTAGGGACCATCACAACATCCATAGCCAAGAGAAAAATTCTCTTGGAACACTGTGTAGATTTTCTCGATTTTTTAAGCCTATAACTTGAAGGGACTTGGCCTATCGCCCGTTTCCGGCTTGACGTCGACTTCTGGGATACGCTGTACACCCCCGTAACGTGGATTCACAGCGCAACTCCATGCGCGCCTGATTGGCTGCGTGGAACAGACATAGATCCTATAACCAAACCTTTATTTTCTTGTGCTTGGGCTTAAAGGTATATATTTGTTGTTTTCGTCATATTGCCGAGTTATAATTGTTTCTTGCCCTTTTCTGGTTTTCGTCGTTTTAATGTATGTTCCCGTTTCTCAAGACTCTCCCGTGATTCATCCCTGCGGTGTGATTGATCCAGAGACTTGTTTCCGCCAATTTTTATAACGGACTTTGCCAACAAACTTTTGTGCAGTATCAATACTATTGAAAAACAAATATCGAAATATGATATAAATAACAAGAAATAACTGGGAAAAGTTTTATATGCAAGCTAAAAGGGGAATAAGTCGAGGGAAATAGCAGTGACAATGCAAATGTTAATGCCTCAAATTTGGCAGATTGCCCTTAGTAATTTAGATGAGCCCCTGGATGATTATTTTGGAGAAACTGGGTTGGGTGCGTCAAGTATTTAACAAAATGTAATATGGATGAGGTAAACTTAAAATACAATATTTCAAACTTTGGTTTAACACATTTGTTGAAAATTTTTGAGGTATTGAGTCTTTACCTCCTTTCAGATAGAACTTACTTAATACTTTCAGCTAGTATAAGAACTTAAACATTTTTTGTATCAGAGATGAGAAAAAAGTATTTTAAATATTATTGTATCTGTATACTGCCACGGTAGAGCAGTAATATCATTATAACGTTCGATAAAATTTCACTACAGCTTACGTATTATAAGGTACGTTACGCATCTACCACAACCCAGTTGTATTTGCCTTTACAGTGTTTATCAATGCGCGCAAACGTATTATGACACACTGTAAGTGACTTTACAATGATGTTGCATGGAAAATATCAAGCAAATACAGATACAATGTTCTTGCGCGGAAATTTTAGTTCGTTCGCTTATTTGAAGCGCTATTACAATTGTGGTTGAATTGCGCGCGTGAATCTACGCTACTGATACTTTTTGCTGTAATTTGCTGGTATTTTGTGGAATCTGTGCCATAAATGTGAGGTTATGTCGAGCTGATCACGTAAGATCCTCAGTTTGTTGGAAAGCTGTAACCCAGGTGAGTAAAAACTGAGATTTAACTTGCATCAGGGTTCCCTAATCTCAATAATTTAGCGCTCATGTGCCGCTTACAGAACTGTGCAGTATGCAAGAGTTATTTTCTCTAGGTGTGTTTGGTAGCATTTTCGACGTTGTATCGTTTTTTCTGTATCGAATTATTCAGATTTCTAGTTGACCAAAGAGTTAAAAATAGATTTTGCTATGGATCCTGCATTATTTTTGTGTAGCGGGCTCATATTTGTAGTTACAAATACTCTTTTGCATATTTAGCAGAATAGATTATGGCATTATGGTTTATTGAATACCACAGAAGAGTTCTTGTGAACCTCTACAAGGTGTTTCTTATTGGTAGGCCGTAATTACAAGTACTCATTCCTAAACCAGATTTAAGTAAAAAACTTCATGTAAAGATGTGTCATAAAAAGCCTGGTTTCAAAATATGTGAATTTTTGCAGATCTGTTTGCTCATTTCCGTCAGTCTATCTGTCTGACGTCTGCCCCTCTATAATTTGGAAAGTACTAACTACATTTTGATGAAATTTTGACTCAAGATTACTACAGTGCCAAAGACGAAAAAAGCTTTTTCGTTAAGCTAACGCTCGATAGTTTTTTAAAACTGTCTAGTGATAGCGGAGTAATAATAAAAAAGCACAATTCCTTATCCCCCTTCTATAAATGGGAGTGTTCGTTTTGGATTTTGGTGAAATTTGAATCCTAGGTTACTTTAATATCATGACAATGACAAGAAAGCTTAGTAGTAATTTGGTTCCGACAGAAATAAAAATCGCAAAAACTTTTTTTATATCAAAAATAAATGTTCATAATTTATGTATGTCAATACCATTGGTCATACTGGGTGCATGTCTTTTTATTTTTCACACCAATAGGCGGCGGAATTATCGCCAAAGTACGAAAAAAATAAGAAACGCTCAAATTCGTTTTCCAACGTTTCTGAGGTCGCTCACAAGTTTTCTTGTAGAGGAGTTTTTCAAACGTTTGGCTTGAGCATAGCGTGAAGAGGCGTGAGAAGTATCAGGTCACACTACTTGACATGATCTCTTTACTTAAATTTGGTTTAGGATTGCGGCCTATGATCAAGTAACATCTTGTGCACCACATAAAGAAGATTTTGCGATGTTCAGATTTTATTAATGTCGACAACATAAATCGGAAATTAAAGCTTGTTGCGAATGTAATTTTTCCGAATTTTAATACTTATTAATTCTCGTACCAACAAATTGGCATCAGAATTTATTTTTTGATTGAGAAATCCAGCCTAAAATATACAATGATCACATAGGAGTAATTCGAATTGTACTATGAAATTAAAGGTCATGTTTTTCCAGAAACTGGTAGCGGTATGATTCATCGATAATTGGAATGGTGCCTCCCGATAAACGAAGACAACATGATAACAGACCACATAGGATAAGCGACGAGGTAAAGACCTCCATTAAACAGCATATAGAAATGTCCCCAACAGTTCACTCTATGTACCAAGCTTGGACTGAGTAAAACAGAATGAAATCTATGGGAACTGAACGACAGTATCGAGAAATATTCAATGGAGAATATGATATATCATTTTGGATCCCTAAAACAGACATGTGTGATATACGGACGACAACAAGAACAAACAGATCATATTAAAACTAAAGAAGTTGTACGGAAGTTAAAAGATAGTGACAAAGAAGACGGTGAGGCTGACAAAAGCGTATGTGTTAGCTGTTTTGATCTACAAAAGGTGATTCTCATCCCCCAAAGCGATAGAATAGAATAGAATAGAATATATATTACGTGCCAATTAACAAAACATTTGTTTTTACACTTGTCATAAAAATTGTTGGTATGCATAACACATAAAAATAGCTTCTTGAAAACTACTGATGACGTATACAATACATATAAAACTATAATTTGTAAAAATAAAATAAAATATAATATAAAGGTGTAGTAGGCCCGATCACACACATAGGGGGGTCGCGATAAACTCATTCAAGGAATAAAAAGGATGTTTAACTAATTCTTGCCAAAGTGTATTTTTAAAATGTTTTAAAGTAAGACTCTTAGTAGTGTTTTTTAGCTTGTTATATACCCTAACATCAAGTGAGTTTTTATCTGAGATCTTTAGCCTGTGAGCGCTAGGTTGAAGTAGATTGGAATGCCTGGTGTTATATCCATGAACATCCGAGTGCATTGAGAATTTATGCTTGTTCTTAGGAATCTCAACAAGGCTCTGATAGATGTACATTGAATAAATTGTAAGCATATTTAATTTTATAAAGAGTGGCCTACAGTGGTCACGATAACCAGCTCCCGCAAGAATTCTAATTGCTTTTTTTGCTCTATTTATATGGGTAGAATTTCCCCAGATTAATAAGCCATATTGGATGTGAGAGACGATGAGGGAGTAATAAACACTAACAAGGCATTCATTACTAAGGCAAGTTTTTAGTCTGCGTAGTAAGAGTATGTTTGTGGCTAATTTGCTACCTAGGGTTTCAATGTGCTTTGTCCATTTTAGTGAGCTATCAATTGTTATGCCAAGCAATTTTACACATTTGTTTTCTGCGAGAGAAGAGTTACTAGTTACTACTAGCCTGTTAGTTTTGTCGGAGTTTAGGCATAAGCTATTCTGTTTAAACCAGTTGTTTGCCTTTTCTTCAAGCTGTTTAGATAAGCTTTGTAATATAATATGAACGTTTTTGTGACTCTTTATAAGGGTGGTGTCATCTGCGTACAATACACAAATATCTGGTAATCAGTAGTAATAAAGATCATTAATGTAAAGGGAAAAAAGTATTGGTCCAAGTATGGATCCCTGAGGGATACCATACTTTACACCTTTAATTTCTGAATGTTTATTATTACTACTAACAAACTGAGATCTTCCAGTCAGATATGATCTAAAAAAGCACAGAGACACCCCACGAAAACCATAATAATGCTCCATTTTACACAGCAGCTTCTCATGATCCACACACTCAAAGGCCTTGCTGAGGTCACAAAGGGTAATTTGTACACTTCTTCCCCCTTCAAGGCCCTGGACTATGTGGTCAATAAGTTCCGCTAGTGCATTTATGGTTGGCAGACCTGGCTGAAAACCTAATTGTTTTGGATTAATGATGTTATTTATTTTTAAAAATTTTAAAAGGCGGTGCTTTAAAATTATTTCTAAAATTTTGCCAAAGATAGGAATTATGGAAATGGGTCTAAAATTGTTTACATCAGATAGGTCACCTTTTTTAAAAACTGGTACTACCTTACTAATCTTAAAAACATCAGGGAATATTCCCTGAGAAAGACAGGAGTTATATAAATGAGCAAGTGGTGTGGCAAGAGTATTTGCACAGTGTTTTATTACTTTGCTGTTTAGATCATAAATATCAAGAGATTGCTTATTTTTTAATTCACCAATAGCATTCAAAACATCTAGATATGTAACAGGCTCCAGAAAAAAAGTTTTATTACACTTATTAAAATTTATGGTATTTAGCCGATTAATATTAAGATTAGGTAAGCTTTTTATTATATTTTTGGCTGCCGATACAAAAAAGTCGTTAAACATGTCTGATGTGATATCAGTTAATGTCATTGGTTTGGATTTATTTCTTTCAAAATTTACTAGCCTCCAACAGTCCCTACTTTTATTTTCCGATGAATGAATAAAATTATTATATGCACTATATTTAGCATGTCTAAATTTTTTGTCTGTATTGTCTCTGAAAGGTTTTAAAGGCATTTTTTGACTGTTCGTCTTTTTGATGCTCCGATATTGTTTTTAGAACCTGAAAAGAGGACCTAGCAGTCTTAAGTTCACTATTAAACCATTTTACTGGCTGTCTCTGAAAATGTTGCTTTTGCTTTTGTAATGGAAAATATAAATCTTTAAGTTCATTTATTGATTCTACGAGAAAAGAAGAGAGACTAATCACATCATGATTGACATAATATTTTGTCCAATCTATGTTGGATAACGAGAGATTTAAATGATTTAGGCTAGCATTTGTGATTTTCCTAACATGAACAATATTTTCTTTTTTAATAGAATTTAAATGTACAAGCATACTTTGGGCATAGTGGTCTGAGAGACAGGGATCTGTTACAGAAACTGTATATTCAGACTCGTCTAAATTTGTCAAAATATTATCTATGCAAGTTGTACTTGTGTTGGTCACTCTCGTATAATCTATAATTGTTGTTTTTAATCCAAAAGTCTTTATTAAATACTTGAGGTCTTGCAATTGTAATGAATTGTTAAAGAAGTCGGTATTAAAATCTCCGGCTATGACTATAATTTTCTACTTAGGGCTGATATAAGTGAGTAATGCCTCAAAATCATGAAAACAAGATTTACCTGTTCGATATAATGTTATGAATATTGCTTTGTTTGTTACTAATTCTACAGCACAGCATTCCAATGACAGCTCGGTGGTATAAGGCTTCAGATCGACAGGGATAAAAGAACTTCTAAGATCATCCAAAACAAAAATGGCAACACCCCCATGAGCATGATCTGACCTACAAAACAAAGAGCATAAATTAAAATTTGGTATATTAACCGTTTTTAGTTGATCCTCACACAACCAGTGTTCAGAGAGGCATAAAAGTTCAGCATCAGAATTTGTGTCACCTAAATAACAGGATAACTCGTCAATTTTATTTGATAAACATTGAATGTTTAAGCGAAAAACGCTAACTCTTTGAGCAATTTTACATATTTGGTCGTCAAGAATATTTAAAAAGAATGTTTAACATTATTATTGTCTATATTATTTATATCATTTTGTTTTTGGGAGTTGTGGCTAGGATACCGCTTATTTTGGCTGTGCCTCCAGTCACGATTTACGTATCCGGAAGGCCTTCTATAGATCCCCGTCTTGAGACGGATGCCACAGTTCCAATTTTGGGGCTTCATTATGGTATCTAATACGGTGTTTGATACTGTTAAACGAAACGAGCTAAAACTTCCTCCTGTGTTTAACTTTTCAACTAAATAGGCAAACTGTTCACGTACAACTTCACGATATTTGATGTAAACAGCAAGGAAAGCTTTTGCTATATTTGGATAGAGCAAGTTGCTAAACGAAAAGCAAACGAAATAGCTAGGCTGTTTGTTCACTTTTATAGAAGGAATCGTCGAAAAAGGAAAGAAAAAGTGTTGCTTCCATTCGGCACCTGTGCTTGGCAAAATACCACCTTGATCAAAAAGTTCCCAGAATTCATTAAAAAAATAAACAATACAAGTTTATGGTTCAAAATCGATACTGCAATGCACTTATGCTAATGCTTGATCCGGTCCTCGAAACATTTTTTAAACTCTATGTTAAGTATCTCTATTAGGGCCATCTTCGATTTTTCCACTATCTCCTCTCGACTGCTGAAATGGGCTCCTCTCAGTGGCTTTCTGATTCGATTGAACAAGAAGAAGTCACAGTGGCCAAATCAGGTGAATTGGGTGGTTGTTGAATGGTATTCGTGTTGTTTTTGACCAAAAACTCACGGATAATGATGGCATTGTGCGATGGTGCGTTATCGTGGTACGAGATCCACGAGTTGTTTGCCCACAAATGCTTGCGTTTTTGACGGATTGATTCACGCAAGAATCTCAAAACACCTAAATATTACTCCTTGTTGACAGTCTGACCTTCTGGCACTATGCATCAGGCCGTAGTAATCCATGAAAGCCGTGAGCATTACCTTCTTTTCCGGCTGGAAACGACGCGGTTTCTTTGGTCTCGGCTCATCCGGCGCGCGCCATTATAGCAATGGCTGTTCAGAGAAAGGTGTTCTATTTTTATTGCATTAAGGTGCTTGCACCATTTTCAATCGCAACTGCAATCTTGTACGAGGTTTGTTCAAAAAGTAACGCAAATTTTGAATTTTCGCGGGCTACGTATGTTCGATTTTCGATCTTTCAATGGCGTTATGATGGTACTCATGACCCTCACTAATGTTGATAATATCGGCCGTTTTGAATGTTCAGTCAGTTTTTGACAGCTATTGTGCGTGCTTGGCTCCGATTTTTGTCTATTCCAAAAAATAGATCTAAGAATTTGTATTAAATTTTGTGTCAAAAACAACTTGAAGTGGGCGGACATATTCCAAAAGCTGTTCTTGCCGCAGGCTAGAACGGTCAATAAGGAATATTACCTTTAAGTAATGCGCAATTTGCGAGAAGCAATCTGCCAGAAACGCCCGGATTTGTGGAAGAACAAAAATTGGCTTTTGCACCATGATAACGCCCCGCCCCTGCTCATGCATCGTTACTTAGGCGCGAATTTTTGGCCAAAAACAATACTACAATAATGCCTCACCCACCGTATTCACCAGACCTGGCCCTCTGAGACTTTTTCTTGTTCCCGAAACTGAAGAGGCCCATGAAAGGACAACGCTCCGCCACGATTGAGGAGATAAAGATGGCATCGAAGGTGGAGCTGAACAAGATCACAAAAAATGATTTTTCAAAATACTTCGAGGATTGGAAAAAACGTTATCACAAGTGTATAACGTCCAATGGGGATTACTTTGAAGGGGACAAAATAGATATTCATGAATAAATAAATAATTCTTGAAAAACATTAAATTCGCGATACTTTTTGAACAAACCTCGTAGTTAATTTACCAAATTCACTTGGCAGTATTTTGGTATCATCAAAACAATGTTCTTCTCGTGGGAGGGTCTATCTGAATATGTATTAAAATATGAGATATTTCATTGGTCAAAATCTGTTAATTTTTCTTCAATCTGAATGTCATATTTTATTGGACATTCAGACAGACCATTCCAAAGGAAGAAGATTGATATAACAGACTATAAAGTTTTGTAAGATAACGATACTGTATTCTAGAGTTATAAAGTAGACGTAAGGAGCTTCAAAATAAGGTAACACATGACCCTGCATTCCATTTCAAAAATTGACAAGGTGGCGCCCAGCCGGAATCTTAAAATTTTCAACTCTTATATTTATGCTAAAATATATTATTCAGGCGTCAACTTCACTACTCTGTACATGTCTATTATGTGGGGGTCTTAAAATATATGGGAAGAAACGTAATTTACTGCAACAGATGAAACAGTCTCTCACGATTTTATTAGTGAGATCCATGTTTATTTTTTTTTCAACTTCTCTCCAATATTTTTTTAATCAACGTGCACCTCAAAAATATTTAAATATAAGATGTTCACACTGCAAAAGTCAAATATAATCTACCTTCTTCATAAAAGCACGGTTATGCTATTTTGAAGCTCTTTAACGGGTTTAATGTTAATGTTTTTAGAATTCTTAATTTCAAGAAGTGTGAAAATATTCATACCAAACTTATACCATTTTCACTTAACACGTTGAAATTATAAACCTATGTAAAATTCCTTGAAATTGTACAAAACAGATAGTTGCCAATTTTTTAGAGGCAAAATGGTATTCCTTTAATAACGGTCCGCAACTCAAACATTTCTGAAAAATAAATCTTGAAAATACTACTGAAATGTTATGTTTATTCCTCGAAACGTTATCTAATTGAATGTTTGTTTACTTTTTGATCATCTACGGTTATGAAAACATCATAATCATGGAAGACAGCTATATCACCACCAACACCATGGATTTTTACTCCACCACTCCCCTCCCCCACTCCGAAAGTTCTATATACGCCACTAGCTTGTGCAGCAGAGAAATTTATTACAACATTCGGTGACAGAAACCTTGGCTGAAGTAACAAAAATTGAAAAAAAAGCTAGTGTCAAAGCAGATTTTTTACGATTATTAACCCCTCCCCCTTGTCAACAAAAGTATGAAAATCTTATACCTCCCCTCACATGCTTACGAAAAAAATTTGGTACATTTTACAATGTGGACCAGCTACTTTCACACACTTGTTCTGAATACCATACAAGCTCGAAACTCGATCGTTCTAAATGTTCATTAATTGTAGCGCCGTGTTCATTCTAATGAGACCCAAAATGATTCTGAGGCAGTATCGAGCCAGCCAGTTCTCAACGAAGTGCAGTCATTCTGTGCTCTACTAACAGGAGCATTTATAGTTAAGGTTCTAAGGGAGTAAGCATATCCATATTTGGGGAATTCCTGAAGATGTGTTTCACTTTCGAGCATAGACTACAGTTGCCATATGATCAAATCAAAATCGACTAGTCCTTGTGGAAGGTCCTAAAAATAGAATATATATTGCTGACGAAATCACCAACTAGACCCCCCCATCCCACACGTCATAGCAGCCGCGGTGTTCCGGCATTTAGGCTTCTGCCTGCGCGGCTGCGTCGATATAAAAATAAAAAATAAAAAAAAAAGTCATCAAAAATAAGCAAACCATGACCCCTCACCTCCCTTTAGTGCTTAGATATTACTTGAATGGTTGCCCTCAGGTTGCAAAAATAATATAAATACTATGACCAGGGTATCAGCCGCCTTCATGATTTACAGTGAAGTGAAACAGAAATGCCTTTCCACTGTTGAAAATCAGCAGCAGGGGTAATCTAATGTTCACATGGATGCTATCATTTCCATCTGTGTTACTACTGAGCTTGGGGAGCTGTATTTATTGAAAAGCAACAAAATTGGAAAACCTCACACAGTTGATTAACAGAAATATCAAAGGATTGTATAAAACATGCGAACATGAGTACAAATGTAAAGTTCCATTATGGATAACTCATCAGCCATGACTAAAATGTGAATGGTCTTAAGGACTGATTATGAGAATAAAGAAGGTATACTGATATATAGCTGTGCTGCTGATATTCTAGGTTTACTTTCCAAGATTTTGAATACAAGGAGGTGCAAGAACATATTGTACAAATTGTAAAATATTTTCTTGCAAAATATAAAGCAGAAGATGGTAGATCCATTATTGTCCCACAGGAAGTGAGGAATATATATGTCATAATGACCAAGAATTCTAAAGATATGCGAAAATAATAGAAATAGCATACCAGAAAGTTCCATACATGATAAAAAATCTAATGCATCAATGTCCAATACTGTTAAAAACTTAAATTCATGGATATATGTTTCTTCATCACAATTGAATCTTCCTAATCTTAAGATTGGCTCTTTTACCCTACCCCTTTTGCTAATAAACAATATTTTCCTGACATCTAACCAGTCTAACTGCAACAAGCTATTATTTTGCACAGTCATTTTTAGTGTATATAGTGAGCAATTTGAAGTATAACCATGTATAACAATCCTAGAGTTACTCATATCTGTCCAAAATTACTGTGATATGGTGCCCCTATATTTAATTAAATTGGTTTTCCATCATTCAAAATAATTGACCATGTTCCAGGCGATTAACCAATACTGAAGTGGGTAAAATTTGAGTAAACTAACATTATTTAATTTTCATACATAAACTGCTGTAAAAGTCCAAACCCTTGTAACTCAGAGAGAGAAATGTTATTAGTAAGAATCAAATCCAAGGGAATAACCAAAATTTCTGTGTTATGTACCGCGGTTATAATATGGTTTAAGATGACACACGGGTTGATGACGTCAGGTACTCGAATCACTTGAACGCGTTGGTTTTAACCGCGGTTTTGTTGCAAGTTGTTTATTTTAGAAAACCGGGTATTTAATTTGATTATTTTTATTATCACTTAAAATCGGTGCTTTTTCGTCTACAACAGTGTATGGAAAGTTTAAAAAAGAAACTTTTCATAATATTAATAGGAGAAATGTTTTTTTTTTTCAGAAAATATTTTTTAATGATGGAACCCCATGGCTTTGTAGCTATAATAAATTTCAATTCTCTACTCTTCCGCATGTCAAAGAAAACATTTATTGATTTAGCATTGAGTTTATATGGCCATATTTTAATATTCTTGTGCTATATGGCTACACAGGGTATTTTGTTAAGCATAGGAACTAGATTTAAAGTGTACCCAACAACAGTAATGAGTATAACTAATAAGGTGCTCTACTTTATGTACAACTGAAGTCAGCCTTTATCAAGTTGCCCAATAATGAAGCCGAATTACAACAAAAATATCCAATACACGGAAAAATTCTAACTTGTCACATTTCAAATAATAACCAGAAATATAAAACTACTCCTGAGTTGGGTAAATACCACAATTTTGCGGTGATAATTATGACATATAACAGCTGATTCATGACATGACGGACTTATAATCAAACTAATAACCACACTCGCTTGAACGGATCGGTAAATACCAATCCAAAATGGTAAATATCATTTTCATTTGGTTATTCGCTTGTATTTGATTATCTTTATTTGTTGTTTTGAATGGTTTTTCTAATAAGAAAAATTTATTTTGCATTAGGAAAAACAATTCAAACGCCTCACGTGTATTTGTGATTGGGTTCGTTCAAGAGTGATAAATAACACAATATAATTAGAAAAATAACTTTATTCTGGTAGATAACGTAATGTGGTGCATTTGCAATATAGTGCAATGGAGACTCAGAAACCCACATGGGAGGTTTCTGAATAATAATTCGGATATACGATCATAAGGAAACTACAAAAAACCCATGATACCACACTCAACAAAAATTCAATAACAAAAATATTGTGAAATCTGTATGTAAAGGGTACAAGATTTCATTAATCAAACATAACATTATGCTTCTGAATAAACATTAATTTGCAAAATTTTACATTTTACATTTATTTTATGTGAGTAAAGTCTGTAAGTATATGGTACAGGCCATATATAGTAATTTAATAACATGAAATTCTAAAAAATAAAATAAAACACAATTCTATCACAATGTGGTAAAAATGTCCTGGTCAGGTGTGTCACATTTGTGATGGTTCATCCATGGAGGTACATGAAATAATTAAAAAACCAGCAGCAAATATTCGAAAATGATTTACCTGGTGGCATTTAACTTTTTCATTTTCCTTGAATGACCATCAGATGTTTCAAGAGGTCTTTTCAAAGAATTTTTATGTTTAATATATTAGAAGATTGTCAGTCTGATGCATTTGTTAATGATATTTTTGAGGACATCATGAACATTGCAAGGCTGAAAATTTTCAAGAAGTTGTGTCAGACCTGTTTTGAATAAGGCTTGAACATTAGGCAAATGGGCAAACTTATCCAAAAAACTATACAGTATTAGAAGATGACTTAGTTTGTCAGCCTCTGCTTATTGTCCTGTTCCTTGAAATGAACATAAAACTGTAATGGGGTCAACTCATCAGAGAACAGTGCTTACTGACATGTAGGGCATTGGGGGGATGATAACATCACTTTGTGTTGCGGTGAATTTGATACATTATAGATTCCCTTTCTATTAATTAGGTAACTTTTACTTACTTCTAATTGTGTAAGGCATGAACTCGAAGTGTCTGACAGAAATGTATATTCATCTTGATAATGAGTCTATATCACAAAATCTGGCTTAGAAAAGCAATGATCGTATTCAATTGTACTTACATCTGTCAAGTCTTAGGTACTTCTTTTGGCAGGCAATTTACATGTCTTGCTGCAGAAGTTGAAGGAGAATCACAAATGCTTGCTGAGAAACCAACAGAGCATTCCTTAATGAAACTGCAATATCAGAATGACTAATGGGTTGACTTAGAATTTGACCAACATCTTTTGGAACTGCAAGACAGTTCAAACGTGAATAGGGAAACATGATCAGACAGTACGAACTGGCATTGTATCATAATTGCCTTTGACTGGGTTTTGTTGGGAATCAATGAAATTTCTTGGATGGGGATACGAATTACTTACATTCAATATGTATTTATTTTGGCAATAAGGATATAGGCACTATCGTGTCCATGTCTTGGTTGTTTATTCCATAGTAGTATCAAAAAGATTTAAGTGAAAAATAATACATGCCCTGAGCAAGTTTACAAAATTATCAGAATCAATGTCATATAGGTACTCACCTGTATTTTTCTAACCCACTCCAATCTTGAAATAGGTGGCAGAAACGGGAACTGAAAATATTGAAAATCACTTCTTGAAACACACAATTTATAAACAAATAATGCAGGCACAGAGGAATCGAGTGGAGTGAGATAATTTTACTCAGTTTTTTTTTTCAAGGTGGACATAAGCACATGCTTCATTAAGGGTTTGATGACATACTCTAAATTCCAATAAATATCAAAAGTAAAACTGCTTTATTTCATTATCACACGTCGGCACATTTTTGGCGGTAAAGTAAAATGGCAGCTTGACAGCCGTGACGTTGAAGAAAGACAAGTGACACTATCAAGACTATCAATATTGACAGTGTTGCCGGTCGTTTTTTTAAAACGAAAAACGTTGCCAGATTTCCTGTCATACCTCTAGTGGGACTCCGTGTCTCATGGAATTCTAGACCTTGCTTTCCACTGTTGATATCGACTGTAGAAAGCAACTGTCGCGTTTTGTGGCACTCTGTGTCACAGTCGACTACGCTTCGGGTGTTTTCGGCAATGTACTATCTAAAGGCGCCTACAGACACATGAACATTCCTTGAGATATGTATGCACGTACAAGTATGCGCGTACATATCCGCCGGTGTGTAGACAAAATCTCTCTAAAATATCCGTCGAAGATATCTTCAGTCGCTGCTTGAATATTTGTACGCGCGTACAGGTTGCACGTACATACATATCTCTCTGTGTGTATGCAGAACGAATATACGTATCAGGAATAATACCAGTGCGGTTCGCGTTAACCATCTCCAGGCGTTAACTGTGTATAATAACGGCTGATAGCAGAAACTATTCAAAAGAGTTTTTAATAGAATTCATAGAACTTTATAAATTTTACCCCTGTTTATGGAAAACTAAATCCAAGGACTACATGAATAGAAATAAAAAAAAACGATGCGTACAAAATATTGGTTGAAAAGTGGAGAGAAGTAGAAAAAACGGCTACCAAGGAAACAGTGAAAACCAAAATATATATATAATATGCGTGCTGGGTTTCGCAGAGAAATAAAAAAAATTGCAGAGTCCAAAAAGTCAGGAGCTGGGCAGGATGACACATATATACCACATTTATGGTACTACAATTTGTTGCATTTCTTAAAAGATCAAGAGATACCCAGATCATCTGTATCAAATGTACCAGACGAGAACGTGGTGAATGAACAGTTTGATTCAGATCAAGGAGAGGTAAGTAAAAAATTATAAATTTAGGTACTGTAATGTTTTATGAATAGGAAGCTTTAAATTTTCTACAGCGTGTTGTTGTCTGTTGGTGACTATTACTGTATCATTTTATCTTGCCAGCTCAGAGCACCCTCATGACAGAAGTAATTCGTAAACAGTAGTCTAACTTGTTTTGCTTCATAGTTACTCCCTCGATTGTAACCGCGCTGCAGTCTTGTCATTCCAGTGCTTTCTAATCCTAAATATATTGTGCTATCTTGTATATTTTCACTGTAAACGTTATCTTCTGCTACATATGCAGTTCCACATTTTCGTCTTAAGTAATTATGTAAAACACAGGCGGCCATGACTGCTTTTTCAATACCTTCTAAACTAATGGAAATCGCTCCTTGAAATATTCTAAAACGCGCACTCAGTATGCCAAAAGCATTTTCAACTCTACATCTTGCTCGTGAAAGCCGTAAATTAAAAATTTTTCGGTCAAGATTCAGTTCTTTCTGACCAAATGGTTTTACAGAAGTCGCAGCGCAAGGAAAATGCTTCGTCACCTATGAAAACGAATGGCATTATAGCTTTACTGCCTCTAGGTTTTCTTTGAGGCGGTAAAGATAAATTCCTATTTTTTAGTTTCTGATAAAATGTAGTGTGGTCAATAACACCTCCATCAGATATTCAACCATTTACTCCAAAATCAACCATAATGAACTCATAATTTGCGTTGACTATAGCCATGAGCACTAAACTATGTCCTCCTTTGTAGTTATAGAAGTAAGAACCACTTGCAGCAGGGGGAAGTATATTAACATGTTTGCCGTCAACGGCTCCCACGCAGTTTGGGAACTTACATTTCGTTTCAAAATCAGCAGCAATTGTATTCCATTCATCCTCTGTTGTAGGAAGCTGCAAAAAATATTTAAATTAATTTACAGTCTTTTTGTCATTCTGTTTGGTCGAGTTTGAGAACCGTTATGTGCAGCAGGTTGCTACTCTGGTTTCCTATACGGGCACATTACAATATGCAATATTTAGGAAAATTGTTTTTGTTTATTTAGAAGGTTGACACACAGACAACACAGTTTTAATTCGAAAATCTTATCCTTAAAGTTTCAAAAAACTTCAAAAAATGTATTACGTTTTTATTTTAGGAGATTGAGAATGAATCAGAATCTGAAAGTGAAGGATGTCGTAGTTCATTACAAAGCCCGCTGAATGCCCGACCAAGTACTAGTTATGGAACTCACGGAGACGAACACGGTACTGAAGAATTTAGTAGTTCGGTACAGAGCCCATTAAGTAGTAGGTCCGGCACCCATGGAAACAAATCGTTAATTCCACCTACAAGTCATTCTACAAGAAACGTAGAGCTAAAGCAGATGCCCAGGCAGACGAAGTTCTTGCTCTTGTTTCAGAAAGGCTAAAGTGCAGTATTGAAGATCAATGCACCAGTTTCGGAAATAATGTTGCAGCGAAATTGAAAACTCTTCCAAGAGAAACAAAGTTATACACGGAAAAGCTCATCAGTGACCTATTGTTTGAAGCAGAAATGGGTCATGTTACCAAAGCAACAAAAATTGTTTCGCTACTCGATTTAGCAGAAAATCATTCCCAAGTTACTTTAAACAGAGACGGTTCCGCTACTCTTTATTATCCTCAGCATTATACCTATCCATCGCAGTTTGCGCCTCCCCAGCAACATGTGTCACAAAATTCATTTCATACCTGTTCATTTCAAAAACCACAAGAAATGCAACCAATAAAACAGGTACCTACTGTTCAGCCACTTGACAACGATGTGTGCGAAACAGATAACCTTGCCAGGTTTCTAACTAACATTCAACCAAACTAATATTTAAGACAGTTTTGGCTTTGAATGTATTTTATCTTTTTTTCTGAAACTTTTATGTTAACTTTAAATACTTATCATGTTCATGTTTAGTTAATTAATAAAAATTAACATCTTTAAAGTAACATTGAATGGGAGCTCGCGAATTCGAGACCAAATAAAGCCTATTCAAAAGATAGAGAAAGCTATATCATTGCTTTTTTAGATCGACTCGTGAGCCCCCTAATAATAACGTATTATTTTATTTAGCAGTGCATACCTTTAGATACTCATCCTTTAATACCTCATAAATAGCATTGCAGGTCTCCGGAATCATTTCACTTAGCGATTGAGGTGAGATGATACTAGAAAATTTCAAATCTTCATAGTTCCTGCCAGTAGCTAGGTACCGAAGGGTAACAGATAGTCTTTCATGAGGGGATATGGCAGACCTCATGCACGTGTCTTGTTTCTGGATCAGTGGCGTTACTAAATTTAAAAGTAATACGTAGCTATTATCATCCATGCGGAGATAATTTCGATAATCATCCGGTTCTAAACGAAGTTCTTCCAGTAGATTTACGTGTGAGAATCGATCACGCTGCAACAACCATTTCTTTACCTTCTTTACCCATTTACTTCGTGGCCTGCGTTTATTCATTAATCGATTTTGTTTTTTCTTGATTATACACACGCACGCCACTGCTAATAAATTTAAATCAATATCACTCACTGTCGCCATGTTTATTAGCAAGCTGGACAGTAAATGTTCTTTACGTGTGTAGGCAATTCGAATAAAACGTATATGTACGCGCGTACTTGTACGCGCATACATATCTCAATGAATGTTCGTGTGTCTGTAGGCGCCTTAAGATGAAAGTATCTCATAATTTTTTAGTAATATCTAGTAATTTTTAATTTGTTATGTTTATGTTTAATTAACCTATCACCTGTGGGAGTGTTTTATATAATGTTTGAAACCTTGGTCTAGTTTTTGATTGCATATTTCACTGTTGAAAGATAATGGCTCTAGTACCTATAAACATAGCTGCGATATTGGCAGTTCAAGAAGAGGAAAGGCTAGATGATATCTGCATCGAAAATATGGAGAGGAGATTGATGAGAAATCAAAGTGATCCCTTTTCACTTGAGGATGTGAGATTCAAAGAATTGTTCAGGCTGAATAAAGACATGGCCCAATATGTTTTAAATGGCATCATACCTCATTTGAACCAGGTGCCGAATCCTGTAGCAGTACCTGTTATCCTGAAGTTTTTTGCTGCGCTTCATTTTTATGCTACTGGCACTTACCAAAGAGTGATAGGCAGGAGCTATGACATTTCAATGTCTCGGCAGAGTATTTCAAGGGCTATTCATGAAATTACTAATGCTATTATCAGTACATTTTCTGAACAACTGGTACACTTGCCAAGAACAGCATTAGAAAACATGTAATTAAGCAAAGGTTCATGGAAGCAAGAGGTTTCCCTGGGGTAATCTGAGCAATTGATTGCACACATGTGGAAATACTAAGGCCAACTTTGGAAGAGCATAACTATTTGAACAGAAAGGGTTACCGTTACAAAAATATACAAATTGTAAGGTTGATTGATTATATTTAAATATAATTCTGTAATTTCCAAAAACTGTTTCAGGTTTGTGATCATGATCTAAAAATTCTTAATATCAATGCCAGGTTTGCAGGTGCATCTCATGATTCATATATATGGAGAAATTCATTGGTGAGGAATGAATTGGAAGCTTGCTATCATGGAGGTATGCTCACGGTGTTATTTGGTATTTCATAATCAAGGACCTTATTGCATATATATGAAATATGCACAAAAGCAATTGTTGATTGATATTCCTTTTTGTAACATTCACAGATGTAAATTATTTTTAGATAACTTTTTTTTTTAATGCAGGTGATAGACATTCATGGCTCTTAGGTGACTCAGGTTATCCTCAGGAACCATGGTTGATGACTCCTATCCAAAATGCATTGCCTGGTTCGCCAGAAAGAAGATACACAGATTCCCATATTCAGACAAGAAACTGTGTAGAAAGGTGCATAGGTGTATTGAAAGGAAGATTCCTCTGTTTATCAAATGTGCTCAGATATAGCCCCGAAAAAGTGGGTAATATTGGAAATGCTTGTGCAATTTTACATAATATATGTGTAGCTGCTAGATTGGATTTTAATTTGGAGATGCTACAGGATACTGACAATCATCTGGAACAAGGCAATTTTGACCAAAGAACAAACAGAGATGGGATTTTGCTAAGAAGGAACATTATTGCCAGATACTTCACTAATTAGTATATATGTATCATGCGAGGTATCTTGTAAAGATGTATTATCCTTTTCCATATTATAAGTTGTTTGTCACTAAAACATGTTAATTTTTGAATCTGCTTAGGGCAAACATGCCAGTTTTGGAAAAGATGTTATAGGAATAAGTACTAAGACAAATTGTTAAGTTCCATGTAAAAATATTTAACCCTTTCGGCCCTGCTGGTGGCAATTGCCACTGCTAAATTTACAGGTATTTGCACTCGGCTGCAAGCAGCGTTTGACAGTTTTACTGTTAGATGTCGCCTCAATGCACTATTATAAACAAGTTTCGAGCAAAAATTGCTTACAGGTGGTATTTCATTTGTTTGTATTGACTATTATTGATTATTGTGCAAGCATGGATTTCGATAACCTCAAAAACGTGTTCGGTAAGTTTAAATATTTATGTTTATAACTCCTTTTTTACATCAGACATACTTTATTTGTGTAGATTGTTGATATATGTACCAAAAACTGGTTCCTATATGCAAAAAAGAACTTGAAACTGATATTTGTAATTTGCGTACGCAAATGCCACCATTAGGTATTCGCGACATTTTTTATGTTTTTGTTTTTTTTTTTTTCAGATGATGGTATACCCCCCAAGATTTTTTATGGGGGGATAAAAACTGTTGCAAAATAAAGTGACACTAAGAAATGCTCAAGCTGCTTTGTCAGGGCTACCTGATTCAGATATCGAAGAGGATTTCGATAATGAAGTTGGGAATATGGAGGATTGAAACAACGAGGATGAAGAAGATGAAGAATTTGAAGTACAACCAGGTTTAGATCAAGATTCAGAAGACGAGGAGGACAATATTCCGTTGTCTATTATGAAACAGAGGCTCATGTCAAAAAAAGGAAAGCATGCCAAAACAAAAATAACATGGAAAAAGGCAGAGTTTCATCCACCAGATATTCAGTTTTCACCTCCCACTCCCTTACCCCCTCAACCCGACATTAGCAATAGCCCATTGGAATATGTCTCGAAGTATTTTCAAGATGATATATTTTCGGAACTAACAGAAAAAACAAACATGTATTTGTTACAGAAACACGGGAAAAACATAAATGCAAATGTTCAGGAAATAAGAAAACTTGTAGCTCTGCATATTATGATGGGTATTATTCGATTTCCAAGGTTGAGGATGTATTGGACACCAGCTACAAGAATACAGTTTTTTGATGAAATTGGGATGTCAAGAAATAGATTCGAATCGCTTAGAAACAATTTGCACATTGTTGACATCAACAAGTAAAATCCTAATGATAGACTTTGGAAAGTGCGTCCAATTGTCAGCTCATTTGAAAGGAGATGCGAAGAGTTGGAGATAGAACAAAATGTATGTATAGACGAGTCTATAATACCATTCAAAGGCCAGCTGTCTATAAAACTATATGAAGGGGAAACCCAATCCATGGGGGGTGAAAGTTTTTATATTATGTGGTGCTTCTGGCATTATATACCGCTCTATCATATATCAGGGCTCTACTACACTTCCTGTTGATTTGCAAGATGCATATTCTGCTACTAATGCACTTGTTATACACCTCTCCAACAGAATTCCTGAACACAAAGGACAAGCTGTTTTGTGACAATTATTTCACATCGTTGTTGCTCCTAGAAGAATTATTAGAAAAAGGCATTTTTGTTGCCGGAATTATTCGTGCAAACAGAATGGAAAAATGTCCACTCAAATCCGAAAATCAACTCAAAAAGTTAGGGCATGGAAATTGTGACTCGTCGGTTTCACTTGATAATAAAATTATAATAGTGCGTTGGTACGATAACAAAATGGTCAATTTGGCTTCAAATTTTGTAGGTATTGAACCAGAAGATGAAGTGAAGAGGTGGGATAAGAAGCAAAAAGCTTACACAATGGTAAAACGTCCAGCAATTATACGTATGTATAACTTCTCCATGGGCGGTGTGGATAAAAATGACTTCCTTATTGCTCTATACCGCACATTTATAAGGTCAAGAAAATGGACGTTACGAATCATTTTTCATTACTTCAATTTAGCAGTCTGTAATTCATGGCTTGAATACCAGGAAGAGATGGACCACAGAGGTGTGATGAAAAAATCAAGAATGGACCTCTTGCAGTTCACTTTGTCCATAGCTAAGGGTTTGGCATTTTCTGGTTATTCGATAGTGGCACCAAAACGGGGTAGACCATCCACCAGCAACAGCAGTAGTCTCCGAAACTCTCCTGTACCAATCAAACAGCATAAATCGCAGCATGTTGTTCCAGTTGAAGATGTTAGGTATGACCATATTGGCCATTGGCCTATACATATAAAGGGTCACGAACAACGGAGCAAGCTGGAAACTTGTGGGGGGCGATCCCGAATGTTATGTGAAAAATGTCGAGTTCCTCTTTGCCTTTCCAAGTTTAGAAACTGTTTTAAAATTTTTCACAACAAATAATGTTTGACATAAAATAGAAATAATAAATTTATGATTTGTGTTTTTTTTGTCAACGACACCTGATGGTGGCATTTGCCACGACTTCCTAGGCGAAACCGCCTGTGGTGGAAAACACTTCTAACTTGTTGGTAAGGTTGACAAGATGTTACTAGACAATAATTACAGCAAAAAAAATTTTTCAATTTCAAAAATTCAGGGCTGAAAGGGTTAAAAAAATGTCTATATTTTGATACATACTGTGGTAGATATTTTAGAAAATGGTGATTGAAGTGGTTTCTAAAATGAGCATATCACTCATTCTATGAACTTTTTTATTTTTTTATACTGAAGCAGCCGCGTAGGCAGAAGCCCAAAATGCCATGGCACCGTGATTGTAATGATGAGGGACTTAGAGACAACTTGTTTATCCAACCCTTGAACTGTCTAAGGTTGGTTGAACCGGGAAAAGCCTTCTCAGGCAGATTGTTCCACCGTCTCAAAACCTTGGGCACAAAGGAGCTGTCGTACCGGCCAAATCTGGACGTACTCAGTTGGGATGGGACGCCAAAGTCTGACAGGCTCGTCGCGCGGTGGCATCATGGAGCCGAGCTCCGAGGAGCAGATCCCATTGACATAGCTCATCGACATCCCGTCGATGCTACAGGGTCTCGAGACCGTCCATCAGAGAACGGTCATCGATCAGCCTGACAGCCCTTCTCTGAACAGCATCGAGCATGGATATGTGGGAGCAATACTCGAGGCTAAGTCTTATCGAGGCCTTATATAGAGTGAGGAGGTTATGTGAAGAAAAGTACTTCCAGGCTCTAGACAAATAGCCTAGTTTTTTTCCAGCAGCTGCCTCGATTGACGAGACGTAATATTTTCACTGGTTTGACTGGCATAAGACAAGATTTTCCTTCAATCTTAGATTTTTCAACTTTCTTGTCGAGAATTGTCTTGATTTAATTGATAATAAATGAATACACAAAATATGTTTTAGACTTTTTATTATAAATTTTCATGAGGATTATATGGCCTAGTTTGATATTACAAAAATGTAGTGAAAGCAAGTCAACCAATAAAAATATACTCAACTGTCTTTTGAAAATGCTGTTTGTGCAACAGCAGCAAGTATTTTCAATGGCTCTGCAATACTTTGGGTATTACTTTCTATTTTTTGAGGACCTGGAGTGATTCTTCAGTAATTGTTGTTAATCTGTTTGAATTTCTTTGGTAAGTTCTCAAATATGGTGTTCTTTGATGTTTTCTTGAGAGAGTTTTTGTATTAGTTGGAGTATAATTGTGATCAGGTAATGTTTTGATGTTATCATTTTGCCTATTTTCTTGATTTATCACATTGCAGCTTGATGCTTCCATTGTTGAGTTAAAGACATCTGTTGTATTAGATGTTGCGGTTACCTATAATGAAATACAGTATTTTCAAAGCTTTATCTCTAAGTATATGCTATGTCTCAAAACTTATCTTTATATGAATCTTTGTTAATGTAGCATTATGAAGTACTCACCTGTCCAAAGGCCATTTCGCATACATCATCTCCTTGAACAGACTTTGTTCCCATAAGGCTGAGGAGCCACTTTTCTGCATCAGAGAGAGGTACAAAATTTGCTGGTCCTCCACCAGTTTTCACAATTTCTTGTTTGATTTTTGATGCCTTAGCTTTAGTTTTACATTTCCAGTCAATCAAAGCCTATTAAATACATACATTAACTGCAAAATTAAATATTGTTGATTAAAGCTTTTACCCTTCTCCAATCTTCTTCGTTTTTTCTCGCCAAATCCCAAACTATTCAGTTGATGGGTAATGTTTTGCCATCAGGTCCATTAAATTTATTACTGATCACCTCAGGGTTTTTTTCGCAAATATCGAGTAGCAAGTTCCAATGTTCTTGTTTGACTCTCATGATTGATCCAAATTTAAAGCCAATATTCGGAAGAAGACGCAGTCAGGTCATATACAGCAAAGTGAGGTTAGAAAGCTTTTTTCCGTAAAATTCCACACGTCAAGACAAGTGGTTTTCAAACGACAGTATTTGTCACTTTCATGCGACTATTTTTGCACACGGAGTGCCAGTCGTATGGAATTGAATCAATTGATGGAATTCCATGTGACACAGAGTCCCACTGCTGGGTTCAGGCTGTTCGGGTTTTGGCAAAATTCTGATAGTTCAATGACTGTTCGTAATCCTAACCGCTTCCGAGATCTTCCCCTTTACGCATTCAGTCTTGCGCAGTTCCAGAACCGTGCCGTTACAGTACTTAATTTTGAACCCGAAAATACCTATCGATTCACCGACTCTAACAACAGTGGTACATTGGACTGGACACCAAACTGCGAGTTTCAGAGATGTTGCTGACCGGTTTAATATCACTCTCACCACCTTGTTATTGTAAATATTTGCATAGTAATTATGAATTGAATGCGCGCTCAATGTATAGTCTATGTCTATGTGAACGCGAGCGAGAGATGAAATATCTCTCGTGCACGCTGAATATGCATTGAGCGTCCGCTTGCATATCAATTAAATATACTAAGTGACATATAAATCCGAACACCCAGTTTAAATGGTTTTATTTTAATAAAATTTTGTATAAGTACTTAATGAAGCATAATAAGTAAATGATAACAATTTCAAAATGATTGCACTGCTTTAAAGCCCTTTGACCTTTAATAATGTGTGGATGCACCCTGATGTGCTACGCATTCTCCAACGCGCCTAGGCATGCTTCTGATCAGGTGGTCAATGTCCTCCTGTGGTATCTCATTCCAGGCAACCACCAACTCCTCTCGAAGTGCTTCTAGAGTCTGAGGAGGACGTTGCAAATTGAGCAATCTCCTACCCATCATATCCCACACGTGCTCAATTGGGGATAAGTCCGGAGATCTTGGTGGCCATGGTAACAATGTGACATCATTATGTTGAAAGAAGTCTATTGTGACTTTTGCAACATGTGGTCGGGCATTATCTTGTTGGAAAGTTGGATCTGCCAGGGTGTCAAGATAGGGTAAAAGATGGGGTTCTAGAACTTCGTGAATATAACGCTGCGCGTTCATGTTACCTCTGATGAAGATTAAAGGTGACCTGGAACCTGGAACCATAAGCTATAGCACCCCAAACCATAACTCCAACAGTGTGATGAACATGTCTTTCAACAAAAAACTGTGGATTCCTCCTTTCACCACGTCGCCTTCTAACCCTGGCACGACCATCGTGCATGCCTAAACAAAATCGAGACTCGTCACTAAAGACAATACTGCTCCATTCCTAATCCCAGAGTGACCGTTGTCTGCACCACTCTAGGCGATTACGTCGGTGTTCTCGAGTTAAAGGGAGGACACAGTGTGGCCGGTATGAAAACAAGCCAAAACTTCTCATTCGTCGGTAAATACTTCGCATGCCAATAGGTCTTCCGTGTTCTGCAAACCATTCATTTGCAATGGACCTGGTAGTGGAGAAACGGTCCCTTAAGGCCAATAATCTTGGGCGGCGATCTTCACGGTCTGTTGTTCCAGTGCCCCTTGCCCTTTGCGTACGGCCTTCTCGAAGCCATGCCTGACAATACCTAACCACAGTGTCCATACTTCTTTGCACTCTAACTGCAATTGCCCGAAAAGAAAGTCCAGCTTCCCGAAGTCCCACTATACGGCCCCTATCAAACTCACTAAGTTGACGAAATCGTACAGGTCTCCGTACTCTAGGCATCGTAACCGATCGTAAAGGATGTCAAGAACCAAAATCCGCCAACGTTGATTCTTTACTGCGGCTGAAATATTCATTTTTAGAGCGTTAGTGAATTAAAAAAAAAGCAGTATAAAAACCGGAATGTCCAACTGATAAGGCTGAAAATTTTTTCACTTGTTATTTACAGTAAGATAAATACATTCACCAACTTTTATTAAAATAAAACCATTTAAACTGGGTGTTCGGATTTATATGTAACTTAGTATACAAAGATTTTTAATAACAGTATCTCCTAAAAGGTATCGCAATTATGTTAATGGTTATTTATGAAGCATGGCGACATTAACATTTTCGTTTGTTCAGATCGTTTTTCGGTATCGCAAAATCAATTTTTTGTACTTTCTCATCTCGTACAAAATCAGCTTTTAACAAACATTGTCAAACATCGTTTTGTTTGGGAGTATAAAAAAAACGAATACTACCTTTGATGAAGCGAAAACATTAATTTTTGGAATTTATTTGAAAAAGTTGTACAAGCAATTAGAGACGCAATTTGGAGCCTGACAACATGTAGATTTGTTACTAGGAGGCTTTTTCGAATAACATGCAAAAAGTCCGAATCCGAATATTTTCCTGAGCAGATGTGAAGATATTTCTTGGACTATAAGGACGGCAGCGCTACCATTCTTGGCTGGAAATCTGGTGGAACTAAAAATATTGAAAGTATGCCGACAACGCATATCAGGAATGTCAGGAATGTGTCGGCGATTTCATTTGTTTACATTACGAAATATGACTGATGACCGTCCCGATATTGAGGCAGTTCGATGATCATAGATGCATAACACATCCTCAATAAAGGAAGTATTTCTTTCATCAGTTTGGCTAGTAATGAATTTCAGGATAATAAAAAAATGTATAATTAAAAAAATATTTATTGAACAGTCCCAGCAATAATAGAACAAATTCTTCATTACAATAAATTGTAAATACATAGAAGTATTCTACTCATCTGGATTTTTCTCTATATTATGAACCTGATCAGTCCAATATCATGCAAGCACTATCTCTTGTCAATTGATCATTTATATTTATTGCAAAAACATAAATACTAAAATAACAAAAAATACATCTGTAGTTAGAGGACTGACTGGAATACAAATATAATCACTCCGATATGTGAATCAAAAATAGTTTTGCACACACTGTTAATGGGTAAAGGCAAGCAAAATTGTCCTCAACAAAAAAAAAACACACATAAAATACTAATTATTTCTTCAAACTAGGAAACAAAGTCCTTATGTCATTGACAATTAATTCGGGATCCATAAAATAAATGACGATCTTCACTCCAACTGTCTCCTCGAAGGATGTTGACACTGTGAAACAAAAAAAAAATTATTAGCATAATATCACTGTCATATTTGGTCAGCAAACACTAAACAGAAACATAGTCATCTCACCACGCCCCTTCATATGATACTGCTCTGTACATATGTGTAAATTCCCAATCTAGCCGTATACATTTGATTGCCAAAATTCTGTATGTAAACAAATTTTCATTGGTGATACCAAACACCCGTCCTTAATTTGTCCCTTTACCAGATTTATTATTACCAACAGTACAGATGTCACAAAAAAAAAGTTACGTACTACTCATCTGTTTACCTCAATAAACTTCAAAAGAGATTACATATTTGGTGGGCTGCGAATACACAGCATTCGCCAGGTGTACACCTGGTTCGTAGTTAATGACAAAGTACCTTCACAGTGTTCTGTGAGGTTTTGGAAAAACATGTCATGGGGGGCATGGTATAGATTTCAATTCTCTTTTTTCTTCTGTAGGGGCTATAATTTGCCAACATCACCACTGGTACAGTCTCAGACTTGAAAGTGTTTGCATCTATCAGCTATGAAGTCAGTACTACAAGCACAAAATTTTAAGATCATTTCCATTTTTTTTTTCGTTCCCTAGAATATAATTTCAAAATCCTCTATCTTGGTAAGGGGCAATTTAGGACCCATGTTTATTTTTTTCATGCTGTTTTTTGATCTACTTTATGCTGTAGCAATACTGATATGTTTTGCTGAAACTACCACTATACGCACTTTGTTAGGGGATGAAGTAAACATGACCACTGACTTTATTTATTATAATTTTTAACATCTCTGATTTTTTTATCAATCCGCCCCGATGTTCAGCTCTAAACTGTCATGCGTAAGCAAGCGCAAATAATTTTTCATACAACTATCACCGAACCATCTGCCCATACAGCGATATAAAATCGATCAAACATCACGATATAAATATCGACTATCGACTTTTGTACAGTATCGATGGCTCGTACCGATCTTCCAATTCCAGCTGTAGCGATCAGCTGACCAACGCTAGTGATCCGATTGGTTGGTTCTTAAGAAAAAGTTCAATATATTGAACTTTATTTTAAGAAGTGACCTTGAATTAAGAACACGACCATAACCTCAATATATTTAGTCATTTATGCAAAAATGAACTGATTTGGATACTTACTGCAACGTCATCATTAGGCGCTCCTCTGGCGATGTCCGATTACGTTCAGGTGACTTCTGCAGGTACCTCTTCATCAAGGTCAGGAGTTGATACCAGCGCAGCTTTTCGTTTTTTTTGCTCTAGGCATGGCCATCCTCAATTATTCGCACAAAAAACAAGTCCAAGGCAGAAAAACACACCCGAAGACGAACACCAAAACAAATCTCTACCGCAAATTCGTCAACAACTCAAACAAAAAGAACAGATGAGTCACCGCCTGGCTGTCTCGGTAAATCGTCGTGGAACACGAGACACCACAGAATTATTATAATTACGTCAATACGAGGATAGAACAGTATGGAAAGAGCTATCCAAGGGTAAGACGAGTTCCGAAACCACCCGAATCATGTCAAAAAATGGGTGTGACGTCACCAAAACGTTTGACCACCACTGGAAATCACTAGCTAGTTACTATCTGGAGGCGTAACATGTGGAGGACACTGGTGTAGAAACAGCTGATCCTTAAGTTCGGTTAAGTTAAGTCGTGCATGAACCCGACATGACAGTTCTCTCGGTACAATTATAATAATCAAATTCAAGCGGATAACCAAATGGAAATGGTATTTACCATTTTGGGTTGGTATTTACCAATCCGTTCAAGCGAGTGTAGTTATCAGTTTGGTTATAAGATCCGTGACGTCACGAATCAGCTGTTATATGTCATAGTTATCACCGCAAAATTGTGGTATTTACCCAACTCAAGAGTAGTTTTATATTTCTGGTTATTATTTGAAATGTGACAAGTTAGAATTTTGCCGGGTATTGGATATTGTTATTGTACTTCAGCTTCATTTTTGAGAAAATGATACAGGCTGACTTCAGTTTCACCATAAGCACCTTATTAGTTATACTCATTACGGTTGTTGGGGACATTTTAAATGTAGTTCCTATGCTTAACAAAGTATCCGGTGTAGCCATATACCACAAGAATATTAAAATATGGCCATATAAACTCACTAGATGATATCCACCTGTATACGGTTTTGCTAATTTCTTTTTTCATCATTTGTGCTGAATCAATAAATGTTTTCTTTGACATGCGGAAAAATTTAGAGAATTGAAAGTTATCACAGCTACAAAGCCATGGTTCCATCATTAAAAAAAAAATCTGAAAAAACATTTCTCCCATGAATATTACGAAAGGTTTCTTATTTAAACTTTCCATATACAGTTGTAGACGAGAAAGCACCGATTATTAAGTGATAATAAAAATAATTAGAGATTATATACGCGCTTTTCTAAAATAAACAACTTGCAACAAAACCGCGGTTAAGCGATTCGTTTAACTGACGTCATCAACCCGTGTGTCATCTTGAACCATATTATAACCGCGGCACATAACACAGAAATTTTGGTTATTCGCTTGGATTTGATTAATGAGAATGACATTCTTTCTCAGCAACTTATCCCCAAACAGCATAAAATGGCCAACAATAGATGAGAAAGGGATTGTCGAAAACCATTTCAACATTGAATGGGTTTCCAAATGTCATTGGTCATTGGTGCCATTGCAGGTATATACATCATCGACGGTGGGGATAATATAATCATTGCATTATGCAAATTTAAACGTTTCAGATGCAAGCAGTCTGTGATCGTACATGTAAAATATTGGATTTGTTTATTGGATACCCAGGCTCGGTGCATTACAGTAGAGTGTAGGGGATAGTAGCTATCCATTAGAAACCAATTTATTGACACCCTATAAAGATAGAGGAAATTTAACTGCCAGACAAGTAAATTACAATGTCAAACTTTCAAAAAACTGATATGTGATTGAGTACTGTTTTGGGATGCTTAAACAAAAATTTAGGCAGCTGTACCATCTAAAAATCAGAACTATTGTGCATATGATTCGAGCTGCATGTGTTCTCCATAATATAGCCCTAGAAGACAACTTTGTTTTCAGTGATGACTCGGACACCAATGAAAGACAGCATTTTCAAGCTTATGGTTAACATGAGAATTTTGACAATGAGCCTGAAGATGGCACTGCTCAAGTTGTAAGAGATAGGGTAGCAAACAGCTTAATGTTGTAATTGTTTCTGAATAAACGGTTAATGATGACATGTGTATTATTTAAACAAGAGCATCATCCTTTAATTGAAGAATGAACTGTATAACAAACCTATTATTTTACTAAATAAAACATACATTATTTAAACAAATTAATAAACAAAATAAAATCTGTGAAAAATAATACATTGTGTTATCACTAATAGGTAGTATTTACAAGCTTTATCAGATATATTGTAATTGGAAAGATAAATAATAGGAAACAATAACAAACATATGAAAAAAATGAATCTATGTATAATTTTTTGGACACTACACTCAAGTATTATGGCATTGTTTTTCTTTTAGAATACAATTTTGTTCATGCAACAGAACATTCCTCTCTGCTAGCAATGCATTCCTTTTTTTTATTTTTGAAAGGATTTCTTTTTCTACTCATAGTTTTTCTATATAGTACTCCTTTCTATCTAATCGCATCTTTTCTGCTTTTTTTTCATTATTAATTTCTTGGTGTCCTTCTTTTCTTTCCCGATTTTACATTCGCTCCCTTCAGATATGGTAACTTCTGATGGCTCCATGTCCAAAGGTGCTTCATTAATTGTATCTGTAGATAGGAGTAGCTCCGGATGGATGCTTTTATTTTTTTCAAATATCTCGTCCATTTCTTGTGCATACACAAAATGTATATGCCCTCTGTCTAAAAAACAACGAAAATTAAGAATGCTATAATGTTGAAATGTAACTACTAAGGTGATGAACGCTAGCTAGAGAGGTTGTTGCTTTCTCACTCACCTCAGAAAAAATGTTTCAAAGTGTAAACTAGAAAAGCACTTGATGCAACATTTGCTGCCTTAGTAAGCTTACAGATCAAGAAATAAGTGTACTTTCAGCCACCTCAGTAGCCTTTTTCTAAGTACAACGATTGTACTTTGACACAGGCAAAGGTGGTCACAATAGCTGATCTGTGCCAAAAATTTATATATAACTGCAATTCTTGAACCTTATTTTGTAGCTTTAATGTGATGCTCAAGCTCAGTATTCAGTTTACCTGTTTGATTCTGGATATAAATAAATCTCTTGTAGTTTCGTTGTAATGCTTTCCAACGATTTAGACAATTACTCGGCGTTACATTAACATTGTTCTTCCTCAGTTCGTCTGCAATCCTTTCTCATAAAATTTTCAGTTTTTTATCTCCAAATATCCAACTTTTTTGCCATAAACTTTGTACAAATCCAGCAACATTTGTCTCTCACTGTCTGACCATTTGTGGTCAGATTTTTGTATTTGTTGTACTAGGGACACGTTAGAATTACCTGGATTGAAGACAACAAATTCTTGCAAACCTGGAAACATACAACAAATTATTTGAGATATACCAAAACTCCATGAGTCTATGGCGTATAAGTATGTAGGTACAGCAAAGTGATCTGAAGCAAAAAAAACTTACCCACTGAGTAGTTATTTGTATTCATTTTTCGGTTTTTGCTTTGCAGCTATAAACCAAAACAAAAGCCAAATGGCGGTTAGGTTAGATGATTCCGACAGCTACCACCAATGTTGCCAGATCGATAAATACCAGTTCCGTGGTTTGTCAGAGTGAAGGTACCTACGTATTTGGGGCTTCAAAAGTAATATACCGCTTTATGAAGGGCGAAATTTAGCCGAAGGCTATTTGTATATTTGAAATGTACATTACACAAGAATTCAGAAAAATTTAATACACAGAATCAAAATCAGTATCCTCAAGAAAAAGATATCTTCTCTGAAATAGTGTTGAATGGATGAATGGTGACGAGATATACTCAAGTTATACAGGGTGTCCGCAAAGTTGGGGGTTTCCTTTTCAGAAACAACTACCCTTGAAATAACAAAGGTAATGTGTAGTGAAACGAGGGCGACCAAGTAAAAAAAATAAAGGAAAAAGTACTCACTCTCCAGTTGACGAGAAGGGCTAAGTACGTCTCTGCCAGAAATCATACCGCTCCAACAGAAAATGAAATCAGCTGATGCGCTACCGAGCAGACGCAGGCAAACAAGGAAGGCAAAATGTTGCGTAAAAAGTCTAGGTATTGCATCCCGTCCAATCGATTTGGGAGAATAAATTTGTCCAATGAGCATACCGTTCACCATGCCAGCCCAAACATTCACCGAAAATGTTTGTTGAAAATGTGCCCGACGGACAGCGTGCGGATTTTCTACTGACCAAACATGAGTGTTGCGAAAGTTATTCACCCCATTACGCGTGAACGTAGATTCGTCTGTCACCAATATGCACTTCAAAAAGTCCAGATTATTGTCATGTTGATGCAACAACCACTCACAAAACCGCACTCTTGCTGGAAAATCGTCAGGTTGAAAGGCTTGTACACGTTGGACATGAAACGGATACAGCCCCTCTTCACGCAGCGTTTGCCACACTTTAGTTTTTGATACTTGCACTTCTCTAGCCACGTCTGTAGTGCTTGTTGAGGGATTCTCGTCTACGCGATTACCTCTACACGCGTGACCGTAACAGGCGGTTGAAGGTTGCATACTGACCTGACACACTGACCCCGACCCAGTTCTGTCGTCGGGTTGAGCTAGTGTCCTAGTACCACTCGGGAATGTCGCGGCTACAGGACGGTATTCAGATATTTTTGATGTTGCAGAGCCCTTTATCTCGGTTCCCTTAAGACATTGGTGTATATGGTACTAAGAAAAATTGCTTATGTTTTCAAGATCTACACATCGTGTAAAGGAAAACCCCAACTTTGCGGACACCCTGTATTTCTTTGCCTTAACTTTAAAAAGTGTGAGTTTTTCAAATGAATGTGGTAGGGTAGAAGTCGTTACTAATTCATATACAAATAAAAGATAGACATAGTAGAGTATAGTTTTCTTTCCACAGTCAGCCAACCAATTTTATTTCATCGTTGCTGATATATGATCATATTTTTTAGTTCATAAACAAATCTACATCAGGGATTTTGAACTTATTGCAGAATGATTTTCGAATAATGCTGTTGCAGGTGGAATGAATCTCAAATTTTGATCAAACGCCAAAATATTTAATTTTTATTTTAATTCCAAATTACCGTCTAATAAGTAAATGTTACCATTTAACTTTATTTAAGCCATGTAATACTTCAAGAGAAGGCCAAGTGTAAACAACATTGTCGTTAAATAAGCGAATTAAATCGAAAATCCAAAGCTCTTCATAGCTATGCCGAAAATTTGTTAGATCAGGCAACATTGGCTATCCTATCAAATTCAAGGCACAAAACGATTCCGAGCCGTTCCAACCCCTTTTACAGTCAAGAAACGATCGTAGAACCACGACAGGCGGCGCATGCGTGTAACAGCACTAAAGGTTGCGAGCTGTAGTTTACTTTTTGGTGCCATAAATATCTGAAAAAGAGAATTATAAATGTCCGAAATGGAGCCTAACGTGAAGAAGCACATCATTAGTGTTCTGATCTCGACACCACTCACTATGACGATAAATCAGCTGAGTAAGGACTACAGAAATATGGTCGGGGAGGAAATACCATATGACAAATTAGGATACAATTCCATGGAAAATTTCCTGAAATCTATCTCTGATACAGTACAGGTAAGTGCTTAATATTGTGTGTTCACAATCAAATAAGACGAAAAGTATGCCTGAATAATAGTAAAACGTTCTTCTATTGAACCTCTGTGCTGTTTAAAAATAAAAAGACTTGTCACTGTTGCCATCTAGAAGTAAGCGGAGTGCATAGATTTAAGAAAAGTCTCATTGATTTTTGTTTCGTAGCACTAAACTAACAATTTTATATCGGTTTCTAGCATTTTGAATGATCCTATAACCAAACATTAATTTGGATGTTTCCACAGATTATTAGCTAGTTGTTTCATTGCACCACCTTGCAAAGAGTTGTTTCACAAATACTTGCTTTCTTTTTTTAAATGTTAGCACTGCCAACAGTTGCACTTGTTCTTACTAATGTAATACTTTTTACAAATTATTAGATATATCCTTCCATCTGGTTATGCTTCTGTGAGTTGAAGATTGAAATTCCAGAATTCACTCCTAAAACATTTTATTGTCGTAACTTTTCCCACTTTAATTATGATGAATTATGATATGATTAAATTTTATATCACATTGATTGGAATATACATCTATATGCTGATGTTGTACAAATGTATAAAGCTTACAAGCCAAATGAAGTTAATTCATTGATTTTAGAATTAAATGTAAATCTAGAAATGATTGCAAACTATTCCAAAAATTATTGTTTGAAACTGAATCACTCAAAAACTAAAGCTTGCTGCATATAACCTATAGGTTAAATATTTCAAAATTTAAAGAATTGAGTACCTACAGACATTGTTTCAGGTGATAAAGCTGTTGAAATTGTAGAGGAGACTAAGAATTTTGGCATTTTATTGGACACAAATTTAAGTTTTGAGAACCATGTCATTAATAAACTTCGAGTATGCTATTGTAAATATGTCACTTGGAGATACAAAAATGTTTTAACCAGTGATATAAAATTAAGACTTACCAATGCACTAATCCTCACTCATCTAGACTACGGCGCTACAGTATATTATAATTTTCTTACGGAAGAAATGAAGCACAAAATTCAAGTATTACAAAACTGCTGCATGAGATTCTGTTTCAAATATATACATATACAAGAACATATTACTGGATATTATGAGAGAAAATGTTTTAAAATTCATGTATCATGTATTACTTCAGTATGGAACTCTACTGTATAAAATTTTAAAATATAAATTACCCAGATATCTGTTTATTGCTTTGGAGAAGAGATGTTCACTCCTCCAAGTTTCATTACGCAACAATGCCTATTTCAATATTCCAGTTCATATAACGTCAACATTCAAAAAATGTTTTACTTACATGGTACCATATCTACTGAACGATCATTTAGAGCTTTTTGAAGCACCTTCCATCCAAAAAGAGATGGAAAAAGTGCTACTACAGCTGCAAAGATTTGAATTGAAATTTGTGGCGTTTTCTACACTACCTTCCATTAACACTCAGACTATATCGTATTATATACTGTATTGTGCATAATATTTCTTGTGAATACTAATCATTCTGTTGATGTTAAAACACGCTCATGAAATTAACTTTTTAGGGGGAGGTGAAAAATGGCCCTTCCAATCATCTTTCCTTTTGGAATGTTGTCGTTTTTATATTTTTTATGTAGGTATATACATTCCAATGAAAATTATTATTATTATCTTTGCTAATCTTCTTGTCTCAAGTGGCTTATGATTAAACTGATTCCAAAACATGATCTAAATACATATTTTCTCATAAATAGCTTTTGCTGAGCAAGTAGTCTGAAAATGCAGTGTGTAAAAGATTAAACTTGATTTGGATAACATCAGAATTGTGTACTTATGTGTCTGCATGGTAGCTTTTAAACTTTTCAGTTTTTAATGATTCAATGTAAGTTGATGAAGATTCAGCTAAAGTTTTTGTACCGGCAAACACTGAAACAGTTTGATTATTACAACGTTTGACTAAGCATTTCAGTCATTCCATTTAATGACTGAACAATTTCAGTCAAACACTGTAACAACCACATTAACTCCGTTACTGCATACTCCTCTTTTAGTCAAACGCTGTAAACAAAACAGTGTTGCTCCAATGAAGTACATAATATAACAAGGTACTACTTTATCAATAATATTAAAAGAAAAATAATCAAGCATGAATTAATCTAAAAGGAAAGAAGAATGTGTTAAAACGGTGTCTTTATTATTACATTATTGTGGTCATTATTCATTAATGTATTACATCAACAAGAAATATCCTAAAACTATCGAAAGAAATATAAACCAATAAATACACATTTAAAAAAATGCAGAACTATGAGTAGGGACAAACGAATAAAAGTTACATAAAATTATCTTATATATTATATTATTTCAAACATTATTTGTTCGCGCATGTTAGACTCATATGGCACCTTGAATTACAAAGAAGTTTTTTTTCAACAAACACATCTATTGGATAAACACTTCTTTTCGCTGTTTTAAAGGAACACTTAAATGTCTTTGGCTTCCCTCTAGCGAAAGTGACTGCACAGCATTGATAAAACTTTTACAAGAATAACTTTTATTGGTAATAAGTTGATAAGAAAACGTGCGTCAAGGACCTGTATTGTTGATATAAATAACTTCAGTATGGATGAATAATATATTTTTTTAATCAAGTATTTATATACGAAATCCGGCAACAATGGATGCTGTTGTTGAGCAAGCCTATGTCGTACATAATTTAGGTTAGGTTCACAAAATTATAAAAATTATCTTACCTCCTTCAACTCATTTGTATTCCATGGCTTTTTCTTATTCACACTATCCTAGTATTCACTTAGTTTCTTAAAACAATCGTAAAACAATTCTGAATGCTGCGACATCTTTACAAACACAAAAAAGACGATGTGTATACTCAAGGAATGACTGAAATACTTAGTCAAATGTCAAGAATGAAACGCCCGGGATCAATAATAATGTACTCATTTTCCTCTCCAAAATATTCTGCCCAAAATACCTCGCACATCGGTCGTAAAAACCACGCTCTTATTTTCTTCCGCGTTCTCCTTTCCCCGCGCCTCTGTCGTCCGACACCACCACCCGCATGCCTTGTCCCTTGGCTACACGGTAGTACCAGTGGCGCATCAAGAATGTATTTCTAGTTTGAAGATTCATCGCATTCGGCCATCCTGCTGGTGTGTCTGTCCTCAGACCCAGAAAAATCAGCATCTATAAATAAACAATCAATCTAATTTATGATGTTGATGCTAAGTTGCATTACAGTAAGGCTTAGCGTGCTGAACTTTGAATGGTTATTCGAATTAATCAACCATCCCAACAGACACTGAAACGTATTAATTTTACACTGTTATGTTTGAGCTTTCACTTGAGCCTAACTTTAGCTGTTTTTCAATTTATCCTTGATTAGCATTTTGACTTACAATTTATACTCTCTTTTATTAATTTATAACAAAATATAATTAAAACTCTAATTATATTAATTTAACGGACAACAAAACGTCCCTAAGTAATTCTGTTGTATGAGCCTTCCTTCATCAAATTATGTTGTTGTTTGAGCTTACTCTATCTTAACAGACAACAAGACATCACGAAGCCATTCTATTGTTTGAGCCTACTATATCTCAACAGACAACAAAACATCATAAAACTGCTTTTATTGTTTGAACCTACTTATCTCAACAGACAACCAAAACATCATAAACTGCTTTTATTGTTTGAGCCTACTCATCTCAACAGACAACCAAAACATCATAAACTGCTTTTATTGTTTGAGCCTACTTATCTCAACAGATAACCAAAACATCATAAACTGCTTTTATTGTTTGAGCCTATTCATCTCAACAGACAAAGAAAATATCATAAACTGCCTTTATTGTTTGAGCCTACTCATCTCAACAGACAATCAAAACATCATAAACAGCTTTTATTGTTTGAGCCTACTTATCTCAACAGACAACCAAAACATCATAAACTGCTTTTATTGTTTGAGCCTACTCATCTCAACAGACAACAAAAACATCATAAACTGCTTTTATTGTTTGAGCCTACTCATCTCAACAGACAACCAAAACATCATAAACTGCTTTTATTGTTTGAGCCTGCTTATCTCAACAGACAACCAAAACATCATAAACTGCTTTTATTGTTTGAGCCTACTTATCTCAACAGACAACCAAAACATCATAAACTGCTTTTATTGTTTGAGCCTACTCATCTCAACAGACAACCAAAACATCATAAACTGCTTTTATTGTTTGAGCCTACTTATTTCAACAGACAACCAAAACATCATAAACTGCTTTTATTGTTTGAGCCTACTTATCTCAACAGACAACCAAAACATCATAAACTGCTTTTATTGTTTGAGCCTACTTATCTCAACAGACAACCAAAACATCATAAACTGCTTTTATTGTTTGGGCCTACTCATCTCAACAGACAACCAAAACATCATAAACTGCTTTTATTGTTTGAGCCTACTTATCTCAACAGACAACCAAAACATCATAAACTGCTTTTATTGTTTGAGCCTACTTATCTCAACAGACAACCAAAACATCATAAACTGCTTTTATTGTTTGAGCCTACTCATCTCAACAGACAACCAAAACATCATAAACTGCTTTTATTGTTTGAGCCTACTTATCTCAACAGACAACCAAAACATCATAAACTGCTTTTATTGTTTGGGCCTACTTATCTCAACAGACAACAAAATATCATAAACTGCTTTTATTGTTTGAGCCTACTCATCTCAATGGACAACCAAAACATCATAAACTGCTTTTATTGTTTGAGCCTACTCATCTCAACATACAACAAAAACATCATAAGCTGCTTTTATTGTTTGAGCCTACTTATCTCAACAGACAACAAAATATCATAAACTGCTTTTATTGTTTGAGCCTACTCATCTCAACAGACAATCAAAACATCATAAACTGCTTTTATTGTTTGAGCCTACTTATCTCAACAGACAACCAAAACATCATAAACTGCTTTTATTGTTTGAGCCTACTCATCTCAACAGACAACCAAAACATCATAAACTGCTTTTATTGTTTGAGCCTACTCATCTCAACAGACAACCAAAACATCATAAAACCGTTTTATTGTTTGAGCCTACTTATCTCAACAGACAACAAAACATCATAAAACTGCTTTTATTGTTTGATCCTACTCATCTCAACAGACAACCAAAAGATCATAAACTGCTTTTATTGTTTGAGCCTACTCATCTCAACAGACAACCAAAACATCATAAACTGCTTTTATTGTTTGAGCCTACTTATCTCAACAGACAACAAGATATCATAAAACCGTTTTATTGTTTGAGCCTACTTATCTCAACAGACAACAAAACATCATAAAACTGCTTTTATTGTTTGAGCCTACTCATCTCAACAGACAACCAAAACATCATAAACTGCTTTTATTGTTTGTGCCTACTTATCTCAACAGACAACCAAAACATCATAAACTGCTTTTATTGTTTGAGCCTACTCATCTCAACAGACAACCAAAACATCATAAACTGCTTTTATTGTTTGAGCCTACTTATCTCAACAGACAACCAAAACATCATAAACTGTTTTTATTGTTTGAGCCTACTCATCTCAACAGATAACCAAAACATCATAAACTGCTTTTATTGTTTGAGCCTACTTATCTCAACAGACAACAAAATATCATAAACTGCTTTTATTGTTTGAGCCTACTCATCTCAACAGACAATGTAACGCTTCCTTTCCGCAAAAAGTCCAGAAAAGATGGAATGCAATGAAGATTCCAACTTTTCTGCACAATCACAGAAAGGGGGTTACCATTAGCTTCCGGTAGCTCAGTCGGTGGCATGAAGACATCTACAGGCGTGTAGCTGTGTGTCGACCATGGCATGGCTAGAGGATAGAAGAACAAACAGAACACAAAAATTTAACAGATTTTATTTAACAAAAAAAAAAAGGCATTTTCATTACATTACAATTTTACAAAAATAACAAAATAAGTTTTACATCTTTCTCGCTGCTATAACGCTATCGACTTATCTTTCGCTGGTCCATTTTGACTCGACTGAAGCGAGGATGGTTGAAGTGGAGGTCCCAGTTGTGAGGGGTGACCTCACTATAGTGGCTTCATGACCAGTTGTAGGCGAAGTTAAAGGCGATTGCGCTGCCAAGGCACATGCATGGGTGAAAATATTGGCCAAGGCTAGGCAAAGTGAAAGGGAAAGAGAAAGGGGGTGGCCCCAATCATTTTTGTCCTATACGGACACACACTCTAGAAAATTCTAGCACATGGTGCTATATAACCTGGTGCTACTGAGAAGAAATTTCTAGCCGTTGTTCGATCGGCGGCTCAAGTGAAAAGGAAGCGCGAGGAAGATCGCAGATCAGGAACTCCGCATCAAGCGCTCCAAGCGGAAAATTTTCCAAGCAAAAAAGCTAGAGATGGGATTAATGAAATGATAATCGAGAAGTGATTTAATAAATACGATCGGACGGTGAAACCGTTACACTCGCCCCAACTTAACCAGAAAAAAATTCGAAGAAGCATTCAAGAATTTTTTTTTTAACAAGGAAATTGAAAGTTATCACGGAAGGACAAATGTACAACCATTCGACCAGATAACAAGTAGCAAAAGTAAGGTAGAAACAAAAATGTTAGAAGAGAATTGGAAGAAAAAGGGATAGCCTCAAGTCTACCAAACAAGAGGGATGGTTATAGCACCAACTCGCTGAAAAGTACAGTGAAGTTGCACTTAAAAAAAAACTATCATCATATGATGAAAAACCCAAAACATAAAACATCGTCATACCTAAGACGAGAAAAATAATAAACCAAAAGCTTCAGAAGTAGTCCAAGCACGAATCACAATGGCATCCAAAATGCACGACTGACTACTAAAAACTTCAAAACTAAGTAAGTACCTAAACCATAAGAGGTACTAAAAAAAATAATAATCTTTCTCAAAACAATTGCCAGATTATCTCGCAATACTCCAAACCCAAAAAGATTATGATCTACAGTGATATTTTAAACCAATATCCAATATAAAAAAAACTGTGCATTACTATTTTCAAAATATGAAAATCAAAAGAAATTAACAAATTCCATTAGGAATTCAAGTCATATAACAAAACAATTTACAAGTACTAAACCAATGAAAACTTGATCAAGAAGGTATTTTAATCAAAAAAGATGTTAAGTAAGTGCAGTTCTGATTCCACAAAAAAATTGTCGGGCGCCAGCAGTCTGTAAGACTACAAAATAATTCAAAATAGTTTCAGAGAATTAAAGTATATAAGAGACATTCATGAAATATTGAAGTAAGATTTTCAAAGTCAAAATATAGCTTAAGTTCAATCAATGAACTAGAATTCATGAGTAAGTTCAATCAAAATTTTCGGGTCATGTGACAACATAAGAACCAGACCAAAAAAAATTTGAAGTACAATATAGAAAAGAGCAAAATAAATTTCCAAAAAAACTAAGTGCAACACAAGTGCAACTGTAAATCTAATAGTGTTAAAATCATAAAGTGAAAGGAAATATTAAAGCTATATGAGCATGATTTTATAAAGGGTTCTCAAAAAAATTTAAAAGTAAGCAAAATATTAAAAGTTTCATGAGTAATAAATGAGAAACGAAGTGAGCATATGTAAAATGCAAAGTAGCGAAACGAAACTCACAAGATATTTTATTAAATCATGATACATGAGAGTAATGCCGCAAGCAAAAATTGTATGCAAAAGTCTACGATATATGTAGGTGCAAAATTGGAGTTATAAAAAAAAACAATCTAGTGAACAAGAAATAGAAATAAATATGACAGGTAAGAATTCGAATTTTGATTTAAAGCAAAAATATGAGAGAAAGACAACTTTCTAGGGTCACCATAGGTGCATTCCAAAGCCCTAGACAAGAATGTCTATAGTCTATGGAATATTTTCATGTAGATCACTGATATCATCAGCGCACTTCAAAGTCTACACTGAGAATAACCATAAAATTGTAAAATGAAAGTTAAGTTCAAATATGAAATATTACAAGATTAGAAAAACTATAATAATTTACCAGTGTAAAGTATGAAAAGAGAATTACTATACTGAATCTATAAGAATTGGCGATTACTTCAAGTCAAAACAGAAATTGAAAGAAATAAGAAGTCGGAAAAAAAATTATGAGAGCAGACTATCAAAACAAATGCA